TTACCCCCANTTACCCCCCAATTACCCCCCAATCACCCCCCAATCACGCCCCAAAATCATATTTGGAGATTTACGCAACTCAAGATGTAAAACACACACATACGTACAAAACACAACACAAAACGCACACGCACACCCCTCTAGTGGTTCCTGCCTGCCGGTTCCCCCCTGGAGCTCACCTCCCTCTCCCCGAACAGCGTGACGGGCTCCCCCAGCTGCCGTAACAGCTGCCGTACTTTGCCATCATCCGTAGGCACCACCACCTGCCGTATCTTACGACGCAGCTCGAACTCACGCAGCTTCGCGGCATGCGCCTCCCGCTCCCGGGTACCGCTCTGGGGATGGGCGGGTGGGGTGAGGTGTGTATGTGTGGTGTGTGTGAGGTGTGTGTGAGGTGAGGTGAGGTGGGTTGAGACGGAGTGATGTCCCCCGGGGGGTTTGGGGAGAGGAGGCAAGGAGAGATCCAAGAATGGGGGAAGGGGGTGGAGGGGCGCCTCCTCCTGGGCCTCATATCGCGCAAGGAGGAGCCGGAAGCAGGCGGATCGGAGTAGGACGGCCGGCCGGGATGGGGTGGGGAGGAGGGGCTAGGGAACTGCCGGGGTGATTGTGGAGGACAGTACAAAAGGGCGAGGAAACTGGGAGGATTGGGAAGAAGCGCGGGGGGGTTCTGTGCTACATAACTGCATATGATGATACGGATATCTGCCGGGTAATAATATGTGGGAGGAGGAGGGGGGGAGGAAGGGAGGGTTTGGGTTTGGGAGCCCAGGGGACACGGCGCTAGGCTTGGCGTGAATCTTGCGCGCTGGACGGTGGTGATGTTGGCGTGGGGCATGTGAGAGGACGCGTGTGATGTGTGGGTGAGCGGCAGTCATGGGGGAACGGGCAGGATGTACGTGTCTGTGTGTGAGCTTGCAAGGTTTTTGTATGGGCGACCTCCGTACCTCCGGCAGCGCAAACACGTCCGCCATCTTTTCGATCCTGACGTTAGAATGTTGCCTTTTGGCTGTATGTAGAACCAGATAGGAGGAATTGGATCAGTCGCCGGGTTGCAGGGCTGGCCGCCGTCCCGATCGCCCAGTCCAGCCTTTTTCCAGCTGACAGAAAAGTTGAAGTCCAGGTGTCAAAGGGGAATCTAGAGTGAGTACCTTTATATATCGGTCATAGTTATGATAAGAGTAAACGGACTTGCCAGCTTGCTAACTATCTATGCCAACGGCAAGACAAATGCACAAATAGCCCATCGCTGACTTGTAAGTGTTCGTGGATATATTGGATATGCATTAGAATAGTTCATTGGTGCTTCAGTTATCATAATTGGTCGTAACGGGTCTAACGAAAGCATTGTTCATGAGTTTCTGCAGAAATCTGGCAAAGCCGACATAAATCTGAAGTTCATTGTTCATTGCGAAGAAACAGCCTTTAGGGTAGAGGAAGCTTTGTATTTTATACCGTGTATTATCTTGTTCATTCAACTAGTGCCTGCACCTGTCCCTTGCCAATATGTCCGAAAAGAAGGAGATAGATGATATTGTAGAGGAATGTTGTACTGTCTTCAGACGGAGGTGCGGGTGGCTCTTGGTTTGCAGGCTGCGCGGGCAGGGCGCCGCAAGTAATTTTCGGGGCGGTTGATGTTGGTGCTCAGGCAAATCGAGGGGTCTCTGCCTTGCGCGAAGAAGACCCTTGACGTCCTGCGCTTGATCGTGACCAACAAGAAGCACAGCACGGCTGCGGCGCTCATCGACGAAATGCGTTCTGTGGGGTATAAAATGCAGACTGCACGTCCCGTTGGTGAGTCACCTCCCCTGTCGAACCTCCCAAAACATTTCATCGTTAATTTGCGTATTGTTAGGAGTTCCTCACCACGTGGACCGCAGAGCTGGCAATCGGCAACATGGTCCGCAGAGTTTTGCACATCATCCGCGAGGAAGCCAAGCAGGAGGAGTTCGATGACGTCAAACCCACGTTGACACAGCCCTCAACGCAGGAAGCGATGCGCAACCCGGTATGCAAAGAGTCATGGCACCGTGTTTTGCTTTCCCCAGTTCCTCGCCTTCCTTTCAACCCCCCCCCCGTCCATTCCTTTCTCGCTCCTTCCTTTCAAAATTGATACGCGGGAAATGCTTCCTGCTTTAAAAAGGTTTAAAAGCGTTTAGGTGCCCTTCTCCGGGCCCACGAGCTCCGCTGTCGCTCCTCCACAGAATCTGGCAGCAGCAGCAGCAGCAGCAACGTTGCTTCACACTCCCCACTGCACCCTGCACCATGCCTTTCGGACTGCTCTCACCTGCCTACCCCCATATAACCCCCTACTTTTCCTCCCACCACTAAACTCTCTGGCTGTTCACACACATACCTTGTCTGTGTTTTCTTTTTGCACCTCTCCTTCCCTTCCCTTCCCTTCCCTTCCCTGGATCTGTCGGTAATGTCCCGCGACCGATCCTCAGTCCGGGGGGCTCTCCCAGGCGTTCAAGGGACGCGTCCAAATGGCGCGGGGCCCCTCGCTTTCCAATCTGCTGGACGTGGGAATCGATCCCGCGACCTTCAGCTCCTCACTGGCGCCCATCCAAGAGTCCCCAGCTGACCGGCTGGACGCCGCCGCCGCGGAGAGAGCCGTGGACGTGGAGGCGGAGTCCCTAGGCGGCGCGGGGGTGTCTCGGAGTGCCGCTCGGCAAAATAAAAAGACCCCCCTCAACTGGAAGGTGGGGGAGGGGGGTACGGTGGGAGAAACACACACACTCACACACATATACGTACGTACGCACTCACGTATGGTAGGCACAGATGGCAGAGATATAGATGGCGCATTTAGAGAAATGGGAAGCACGTAAGGTTGCAAGGGAGCTTGTTGGGGTGGGCCCCGGGGCGGGTGCTCAACCAGTGGTAACAAGAGAGTCGCACCCAGAGAAGGGGGAGGCCCTGGACCAGCAGCAACAGCAGCAGCAGGAACAGGAACAGCAGCAGCTGTGTACTGGGCAGTGGCAGCTGTGTACTTGGCAGGAGCAGTGGCAGCAGTTTATGTTCGTGAGAACGACGCCGTCTATGAGCGCCGCGACAGTTTTACTTTGCGGAATAAGGAATACGTAATAATGTAATGTAATGTAATATGTTATTACGATGATGTACATTTAAATTGGCAAGTAGTATCGCCCGGGTTTTTTTTTCCTCAAATTCGCATATGTTTCCTTTTCCACTCCCCACAAGCGTGGACGCACGCACACACACACACACAAACACACACACAAACACACACACAAACACAGCCCTCTCCACTAACCGCATTGAAACCAACAGTTGTCTTTTAAGAAATTGTAACCGCTTGCCAACTGCCTAATGAGTGTCTTCAACTACCTGAAGCCGGCCCTTAACCAACGGTCGGTCTAACTGATGTGTTACGTACCTCAGGGCAAGCACGAGGTGATTGAGTCCATCAACGAATTGATTGACGAGCTTGACCATATACAGGTACGGAAGTACGGGGGAGGTTGGGGGGGAAGAAAAAGTGGGGCAGGGTGAGGAAAGTGGGATTTCAGCTTGGGAAGGACGTTGGAGAAGGTGGCAATCATACATATGGTTGTACGTATGTATGTATGTGTCAATGCTTGCAGCAGTCGTACGTATGGCGACTGAACGACCCCCGCCCCCCTCCTATTTTCATTGTCGTACCATTGTCGTACGCCATAGGGCAGCATTACGGCGCAGGGCGTGGAGCACATACACGCTAACGAGGTATGCTGTTGGTCTGGATCTTGGCCGTCTGCTATCGCGGGGTAGGAAAGGGCAAAGGGGGAAGAAGAAGGGGGGCCGCCATTGCGTCTTTCTCTCCCCCCCCCCCGCCCGGCCCCCACTCGCGTTCGTGTCACGCCCGTGTCCTGGATCGTGTCAATGTCTGTGTTTTTGTGTTGTACACTTTCCTTCACCTCCTTTCCCGGCCCGTGGAAATACACGCACATACATACATACGTATATACACACGCAGGTAATCCTGACCATGGGTATGTCGGACACGACCTACCTCTTCCTGAAAGAAGCCGCCAAGAAGCGCGAGTTCCAGGTAGCAGTGGAGGGGGGAGGGCTGTATGTGTGTGTGTGTGTGTGTGTGTGTGTGTGTGTGCGTGTGGCGAGGGGGACACAGGAAAGGGGGGAGAAGGGGGTTTGGGGTTTCCGTGTGAAGGTGTCCTAGGGCTGTAGGGTGATGGTAGTAGCTGACGAGGAGGGATAAAGAGGACGGGTGGGAAGGGGAAGGGAAGGAAAGGGGGAAAATACTACAAACCGAACAAACTCGCGACTTGTTAATGACTTTATAATAAACAGGCAACGAGTCCTATTTAGGGAGGTGGTGGTGTTGGTGGTGGTGGTCGCGGCCTATTTAGGAATGATGCCTTTCCTATTCGCAGCAGCCAAGTCACCACCCACAGGGTTTGGGTTCTCCTCCCCCTTTTGGGGGGCCCCCCCCCGTTTTTGCCGCCCCCTCTTCGACCAACACACGTCGGCAGTTGCTTCCTTTCGGCTTGCTTTTACACACCACACGATTCCCCCCCCCCCTGCCTGTCAGTTCTGCCTCCTGCCTGTACATCTGCCGCACTGCAGCACTCCTTCCCTCCTTGGCAGCAGCTCCACTCGCTCGCGTGGTTTTCGTCTTCCCCCCCTTCCCCCCCTTGCCCCCTCGACCCCACCAAACCCATGCCGCTGGCTCGCTTACATTCCTTCCGAGCGACATCCACCCCCCTCATCTCCCCACCTCCCCACCTCCTCACCCCCCACCCCTCACCTCCTCAACCCTAAAAGACCCCATCATGCCCGCCCCCTTGTGGTGTTGGTGTAGGTCGTCGTGGCGGAGGGCGCTCCCCGCTTCGACGGCCACCTCATGGCCCGGAGGCTGGCGGATGCGGGCATCCAAACAACACTCATCGCTGATTCGGCCGTGTACGCCATGATGGCGCGAGCTAACAAGGTATGTGGTAGCAACAGTATACAGTGCAGCACAACTAACCACCATGTCGTCATTACGATGATAATGACGATGACGATGATGATGACGATATCCAAATGAGATTCGGTTCGATGCGATGAGCCCGAGGGCATTTCGCATTGGGTTCTTGTTTTCTGTTGTTCTAATGCATTGGTGTGAACCCAGGGGTTGGGCGTGTATTGTGGCCAACGAGACAGCGTTTTGGGGTAGATATGTAATCCCGAAGATGGTGGCGGGAGGGAATTGGTTTACTTGGTAAAGTCACGGCGCAGGTACCATAAAAAGAATTGACGATTTATTTATAAATATTTAAAGACAGTCAATTTTAGTTTACGACCCTATTGCTATGTATGTATCTATATATGTATATATACAGAGAGAGAGAGAGAGGGGTGCGGCATCGTGTTGATGACATGTCCATCGTGATGTGCAATGCAATGCCCCCTTGTTTGTCGTTATCAGGTGCTGGTGGGGGCCCACGCGGTGTTGGCGAACGGCGGTGTGGTGGCCCCGGTGGGGATGCACCTGGTGGCGCTGTCGGCCCGGCGCCATTCCATCCCCTTCGTGGTGCTCGTGGGGCTGCACAAACTGTCACCGTTATTTCCAACCGACCCGGATTTGCTGTATAACGGTACGTGGAACAGGAGGATGGGAGGGGGAACCGAGGGGAGAGGGGAGGGTGGGGTGGTGCGAGGGGTTTCCTGGAGGGCATAAACCCTAAGTAAGGTCTCAGGGGGAGGGGGGAAGCGCTTTGGCACACCTGCTGTGGCTGTGTATACACGCAGACATAAAACACACAGACACACACACACGCACCTTTCATGTGTGTGTATGAAATCAGGTATGTCACTTGTGTCCCACTGCTACTGCTGCTACTAATGCTGCGGTTGTCACTGGCATACATACGTACATACATACACACACAGAGTTCAAGGGTCCGGGTGACGTCATCGACTTTGATGTTGTGGGGGAGGCCTTTCTGCAGCAACAACAGCTCCACAACGCCATGACAGCCGCCGCGGCAGCGGAAGCAGCAGCAGCAGCAGCAGGATCCGGCGGCGGCGGCAGCATTGCCGCCCGGGACTCGTGTTCCTCCGTGCCGGCCGCCAACCCCGCCCTGGCGGCGGCAGGTGGCGGTGCCGCCGCCGCCGCCGTCGCATCCCCGCCCGCCATGGTGGCGGGATTGGCAGCGGCGACTGCTGGGGGGGTCGGTGCACCCCCTCGGTGGAACCCCCTCCCCGGCAATGTACACGTGCCGACACCCCTGTTCGACTACGTGCCGCCGCACCTCATCTCACTCTTCATCACGGATATGGGCGGTCGTACACCGTCGTACGTGTACCGCCTCCTGACCGAGTATTATTCCCGGAATGATTACTTTTTGTCTCGGGAGGTGTTCGGGAAGGACGGTGTACGGTGAGGAAAGTAGACACTGGCAAAGCAGGAAAACAGCTGGTGCAGGAAATTGCGGTGGTGTGGTGTGGTGTGGTGTGGTGTGGTGTGATGTGTGTGTGTGTGTGTGTTTTGGTGAACTGGGGCCGCGAGGATGAAGCAGGAGGTGCTAGAGGGGAGGTTTTTTAGGGTTTGGGGTTTATCGTGTCAACATGCCGCCGCAGCAGCAGCAGGGCCGCCTGGTGGACTGGCGGACTGGCTAACTCACATGCAAGGTGTAATACGGCGTTGGTGGTCGTAGAGAGGGGGGGGGAGGGGGATTTAGGGTTTTAGGGACTCCAGGAGGACGGGAGGCTAGGGTTGACCGCACAGCCATGCAAGGGTGGAAGGAGGGAGGAAGGAGAGGAGGAAGGAGGGAAGGATTTAGAGTGTGGGGGGGGGAATGGTAAGGTTGGCTGTCGGGGCCCCCTGTTGTTGGGGAAAACATGTGTAGTTGTCCTCGTCCTGGACCCAGGAAGGGGGGTTAAAGAAGGAAAACGATTTAGCGCCCAACTGAGCAAAATGGAAAGGGGCAAGAAAGACGGGCTTCGTTTATGGCCACAAAGGACCGATTTCATCTACATGGGATGTCCGTCGTTACTTTCGTACATTGCTTTCAGCATCGCACAGCCATGAACGAAGTTAAGGAGAAGTACATAGCCCCTAACATAGCCCCAGTCTGTCTGTCTGTCTGTCAGTCCCCGTGAAGAGGGGGCACTGGGAAGGCGGCTGCGTAGCCCTGCTTGCAAATTTGGATGTTGAGGCTCAAGGACAACCCTACACGTTAACCTTTACAGACACTCCACACAGACCTCCGTATTAGATTTCAAACAGGTGCATCAAACTCTGAGGCGTATGTATTTACACGCACATCCTCCAGCACAGCAACAGCAAGCACAGTTGGCAATAAAGCAGCTTTCCTGGTGCCTGCCCTTTTACTCGGGTCTTTTTTCCTCTCTCACGAAGGACCTGCTACTCGTACTCCTACTCGTATACCTGCTTTTGGTGGGACCATACAAGGGGCTTTTACGAGGACTAGGCGCGATCAGGACTTGGAGTTTGGGAGCATGGAGACTTTGGGAGCTGGGACTTAGGGACAGGTTAACGCTCTTTTCACGCACGGCCCATCAGGCGGTTAGTACGGCACAATGCAAGACCTTCGTTCACTTAGCAGCACCAACAATATAGGTTTTCGTTTTTAATGTAATTCGGTTTTTTATTCAATTCACCATTCACTGGCTGTTTGTTTACGCAAAAGCGGCTCAACATCGTGGACACGTCTACTCCTTTACACAGCAGAGAACGACAAATAGCTCCATACTGTCAACCATCTTACGCCTTTGTGCATTCACAACAAAATGGACTTCGAAGGTCAAAGACTTGCAGAACAAATGCTTCTGGGGATCTTGCTAATTTTTGCAACGATTAGCTTTGTTGTGGGCTATGCGCTCAGTAACTTTCAACTTATGGTTCAGATCAATGGAGCTGGATTAATCTTGGCCCTAATCCTGGTCCTACCGGACTGGTTCTTCTATAACTACCATCCGTGGCAATGGCTTCCTCCCTTGAACCCGGGTTCTGAATCTGCGAAGGGGAAATGACCAGCGGTTAGCCCTTTTTCCATTTGGATTGCTAAGCGTTTCCTTGCGCGGTGGTACGCCTTGGCGGACAGTATCTCACTCCCGTTGCCTGGCAACGGACCAGGCTTTTTTGAGGCACAAGTGTGAAACATGTTCCATGAGGGACGCTTGCTCAGCAGGGGTGGTAATGGGTTGTGGCAACGGTGCGAGATGTTATGGTTTCAGACAGTTACCGGACGAAAGCCTGACTGTATCGTAAGTCTGGCACAACAGCGATGCTGGATTAGGGGAGGATTGAGACGAACACACGGCTTCGAGGCATGTACCAGAATGGCTTTCTGGACGCATGGATTTATCGTGGGATTGTAGGCGAGGCGGTAGGCGGAGGAGAGTTACACGTTTCACGTGGTTTAATATAGATCATGTAACCAGTTGTCGCTGCCCTGTGCAATACCTCTTGGCTCTGACGGACTTGGTCAGCAACCAGGGCACCAGGCCTACGTGGCATGCATTACCAAGGCATCCGTCGTCGTTAAGGCAGTTGGTTATCTACGGCAGCTTCGGAGGCGCATCCTCGACATTTGTTGAGCTGCAGTATATCCAGCATGAAATATAAGTATACTGTTGTACGTTCAATCCAGTTTCTAGGTGCCCAAAAGCGTTGAAGCCGGCTGCCATGTTGAGTCTTTTCTGTGGGGAAGCGTATGCAAGCAATTCGCCATTACACGTTATAACATACTATTCTTTAAATTAACAGGTTGAATAAACGCATCAGGACGCATGGCAATCCGGGTTTGTGAATGCCCACCTGCTAGTCATCAACAAGTCCCTTAGCATCACCCGGCGCCATAGACCCAGTTACCATATGGGCAAGAACAGCAAGGGAAGCGGGGGGTCTGCCGGTGCAACCTCCAAGGCCCATACGCCAAGCGGCGGCCATGGGACTAACAAAAAGGGCAGCGGCGGTGCAGCCGCCGCTATGGCGTCTGGCAGCGGCAATGCCGCCGCTGCCGTCGCCGGTGGCTCCTACAGCCTCGAAATTCGCGAGGGGTGTGTGGCGCTGATGCGGTTCCGTAGTCGCGATTCCATGAACTCGCTCCTCGACCCCATCAGCAATGCCATGGAGGGGGTCATAGCCAACAGACTCGGCCACAATTTTGCCCTTATCGACACTGCACGGGACCACGTGGCCTTTCGGAAGGCCTGCGGATTGCCGAAACAGGTACGGCAGTCCTGTACGGCAAAGCCAAGTTGTACACTGGGCACCCGACCCGGTTGTTGTTTATTGTACGGTCTCAGTCCTGGGCCCGGTGACGCTGTTCGGTGGTGCCTTTTTGAGGGGGTGGGGTAAAGCGAGGGGTCCCTTCTCTACCCTCGTACTGTCGCCCTCGCTCTCGCCGCCTCTCCAAACCAAACAACCAACCGCTCACAACCACCTTCCTGCGCAGGTAGGACCTCTTACCTAGATTGCTGTTAATGTTGCTGCCGTTATTTTGTTAGCGTTGTTACTGTTAATGATGGGTCGGGGATGTGAGCGAATATCTCACCATCGTCATCATCGAAATCACATGAGGTAGAGACACCGGGTGGGGCGCGCGCCCTCCGCAGTACTAGGGGGGGACTGTGGGGGCGGCCCCTCACGCCCCTCTCCTCCCGGCGCTTCGGCGGTCTCGCATTCCCGTTGGGGTATACGGTTAGGTGTTCGTGGCCAGTGTCAGGCCCGGATCGATATGTAACACACACAGACACACTCTCTCTCCCTCTCATGCACCTATACACAAAACACGCACAACACACACGTGGGGGTTGGGCAGCAGTCCCTGTGGCCAGTCAGTGTCATGCGGTCAGATACTTGTAACGTCCACACACACATACACACACACATAAGCAACCACCCGCGTTGTCCCCCAACCCCCCCCAACCCCCCCCACCCACCCACCCCCCACACACAGGTCAAGTACGTGATCGCCACTCTGGAGGGCGATGCGCACTCCATTAGGCATGAGATGTGCCATGCCAGGTATTACCTGGATCCGTCGTACAGGGATACGGTGATGCAGGTAAACCAGGAAGTACGTCAATATGTGTAGGTAGGTAGGTAGGTAGGTACGACTTAGGTTACACTGTGGGCCGCGAGAGCCGGGGGCCGAAGCCGAAACACAGCGCAAGGGTCGGGAGCACACAGCGCAAGTCGGTTAGTCTTGTGTGCTCCCGACCCCGACTCAGACTGCCAACACTCTACGCAGCCACTCCGCAGCACTTCCATCCTGGGATGGCGCTACATTGTATGTATATATGTATGTATGTATGTGTATGCATGTATGTAAGTAAGGCTCAGTATGTAGAGACTGAGCCGAGTGGTTGTTCAGTGAGTGCAGTGCGGGTTGTGACCCTCCCTGCAGCACCAGACCGGTCTTGTTTTGTTTTGTTTTGTTTTTGTTTTGTTTTTTTTGTTTTGTTTTGTTTTGTTTGCATCAACAGGTATGGAGCAGGTCGCTGGCCAGTGCACAGCGGGACGCCATTACGGCGTTTCTAAACCGCCTTAAGTACGACACCGTTGCACACGTGGACGAGTTCCAGGCGTATCTGGTGACCGAGAAGTCAAACTTTTTCGGAATGGATTTGACTGAGGCGCAACAACAGCTGCAGGTGATCTGGTTTAAATATCGCGGGGGTAGGGCGCGGTTGCGTGTATTTCGTGTGTGTGTGGGGGTTTGGGGGGTGGTTAGTGGGGGTGAGGCACAAGAGCTCTTCCCTGATCTTAAGGCTGTTGGGGTCATTTGCCACCATCCCATGTACGACCCTTCCCGTACTTCTTCACCACAGGCGAGGAAATGCTATTGCTCGTCCCACTTCCCTCCTCCCTGCCTTTCCTGCCCTCGTTAGGAAGAAGGAGAGGCCCCACCCCCTTTAACGAGGGCTCGGAACGTCCCCTAAGTCTCCACCTTCCACACACACATACACACACCTACACGATGATATCCTTCCCCCAAACCCCCTTAACCGCCGCTCAGGCGTCCTTTCCTACGGGCAGCTGGCGATGATTCTCATCAACCAACAACTGCCAACCACCAACCCACGGACAGGGGAGAAAGGGGGTTGCTGGTGGTGCATGGGAGGACACTATCGCGGCGTTTGCGTGCGTGCGTCTGTCTGTCTGTCTGTCTGGCCACATATGTTGTTCGAAGTCAACCAAAAATTAACTCGGCTTTTAAGTAGCTCCGTAAGTTTCCCCCTACAGGTTGCCTGAAATGGAAAGCGCATCGGGCCCGTTATTCACCACCAAACACCAACCGCTGTCTTACAACAAAGCCAACACGTTTTTGCAAACCTTTCAATTTGGCTGCAATGTACACGCCCTGCTATTTGTCTCTTAGAGTAGAGTTGGGATGATGAGAGTTGGAGATGATGTATTATTGAGTGCCATTAGTGGAGATGATTTAATGTTGTTGCTCTTTAAGCAGCCTCTCGCACAAATGTGTCCGGTCGTACTTCGCGAATAGAGAATCCGTACATCTCGTCCCAAAAGTCAGGAGCGAATTTTGCCGCGCAGATGCGCGCGTGCGATTCGCAAAATGCGCCTGTACAAATGTATATAAAAGTTCTTGGCTGAGAACCAGGTGCGCCAGCGCGTTGCGCAGGTGAGCATGTTGGCCATAGCCGCACGCTGGACTATTGCGTCGATGCTTTGCAGTAAATAAAAGCACCGAAAGCCAACGTCGTAGCTTGCAACTCTGGGCTCGTGAAACTGCCGCGGAAGATGAAGCGCTGGCGAAGAGGCAGTTGTATGCAGCACCTTGTTCAGAGTAAAGTCAAATTACAAAGTTGCGCAAAGTATAACATACATAAACTTAATTAAACATAAGAACAGATAAGACGTTTAGAGCCTTGTCGGTGACATGGACGCCGCTGTTGGCTTGGAACAGCTATTTGCTGTGCATACGGACGTGCCCGCGTTAGCCGTGTTGCAACAGCTCAGGATGGATTTCAGCCAGCAACAGCCTCAAGAGCTGCTGCACAACCACCGGGAATGTCTTCAGTTGGGCACGTGTAGTTTTGGTCGGCGGGGTCGAGCAACGTACGCAATGCGCACAGAAACCAAGGTGCAGCGTTCTGTAACATCGCCAACATATCCGGTACGCGGTGGCAGGCTTGCCGAGCACGAAATGAAGGGGGGGTCGCATCTCACCATTCAACTAAGCATGCATGTGCTAGCGTGCGAGTTTACCCCTATCAGGCAGCTCACCCTGCGAATGTACGTCCACTCCTGTAGTGGGACCAATGTCCACTCACTGAGTGGAAAAATGGCGTTGCACCTGACACGCCATTGCAGCAAATAATCAATTGGATTACGAATAGGTTGTTCTTAAGAAGTTCTCCTGTGCACGCGCTTTTTGTATCTTCAGGCTTGTCGCACGGCAAAATAATAGTACCCCAGCAACCCTAACCTGAAATCTATTATTATAATAGTAATAATTACAAACACGTTGTTCGCGTACATACAGTATGCGCTTGTAGGCAGAGAATTTAGGGGGATATCCAAACGTTTTCGTTCTATCGCGGAGCAACTAATCAACCTTCCAAGGACCTTCCGTTCTCATAGCACCCGTGCTGACAATCCACTGGGGGTAGCCCGGCCTGTGCGAAACAAAACAGATACGCTTGATGATTGGGTAAGGTCCCCACCGCCCAAGCGGCCTCGGAAGCGTCCTGGCATATGAAGGCATATGAATTGGCACGGTTGGAACGTGCTGCTTCGGGCCTGGCAGCTACACTGGCCGGCCTGCAAGACCGGCTTTACCGTCGGGGCTCACTTGCACTAACCAAGAAAGAGTGCAACAAGCTGAGCAGGGGCTGCTCGGCCGCCAAGGCCAGCCTGCTATCGGTGCTGGCGCTGGCTGGGGTACATCACCGTTGTGCCTTGGGTCACGTACAGTGTGCCAGCAGTCGTTGCAGTGATTGCTTCCCTTGAGGGTGAGGCAGCTGTCCCGGTTGTCGAACCTGCTGGGCAGGCTGACAGAAAGGCTGGCGGGGCAGGCATACCTCAGGCACCAGCCCGTGTGCACCTGCCGTGGGAGGGTGATGAGGTGATGTCGTGGGAGGTCAGTGTGGCAGATGACCTTGCGCAGCGCTGGCTCCGTTGCAATGAGGAGTGCACCATTGTGGAGCGTGAGCTCCGTGACATGGTCATTTACTACACGCGCAGGATAAGCCTTCTGCGTGCTCAGAGGGAAGTTATCCGTGGGCACATTGCCGTTCTGCAGCAAGATGCGGGTGGAGGGGGAAATGGGCAGCAGCAGGGCGAGATGCATGGCCAGCAGGATGCTGTAGAAGCTGCTCTGCAGCATGCATTCAATGGCCACCAGATTTACCTGCAGCAGCGCCAATACACGCCCGTTGGTTTGGCCAGGGAGGCGTGCACTGTGTTGGCAGGAAAGGCTGCCATATGCTAAACTCGGATTCTTACTGTAAAACTACTCGGATAACCATTTTCATGTACGGGGAGTCTAGCTATGAAGTCAGATTTTCAATTGGAGATGATCGGCGCGTTCTGGCTGGGCAGGGCTATGCCCTACGGCCTGGCCTTGAAGGCCCGTGCGTCAGGGGTCTGCCATATGCTAAACTCGGATTCTTACTGTAAAACTACTCGGATAACCATTTTCATGTACGGGGAGTCTAGCTATGAAGTCAGATTTTCAATTGGAGATGATCGGCGCGTTCTGGCTGGGCAGGGCTATGCCCTACGGCCTGGCCTTGAAGGCCCGTGCGTCAGGGGTCTGCCATATGCTAAACTCGGATTCTTACTGTAAAACTACTCGGATAACCATTTTCATGTACGGGGAGTCTAGCTATGAAGTCAGATTTTCAATTGGAGATGATCGGCGCGTTCTGGCTGGGCAGGGCTATGCCCTACGGCCTGGCCTTGAAGGCCCGTGCGTCAGGGGTCTGCCATATGCTAAACTCGGATTCTTACTGTAAAACTACTCGGATAACCATTGATGCCCTGCGAGACATTACTCCAACCTGGGCCCAGGTCTACAGATACACGATGGATCAGGTTGACCACTCGGTGAAGAACAAACTGTTCCCCGAATTTCCGTCCTCCTAAAAACGAAACCCATATTGCCAAAGAGGCCACCGGCATTTAATGCTAGTCATAACGACGGGAGATGTAGGACTTTCTGTTGCCTTGCTTGCTGGCAGCCCGTACTGGCCGCTTGGAGGACCCACCCATGCACGTCACGTTGTACCCACTCTCACTCTGTCCCTCCTCACTCATGCCATCCTGGCTCCCTTCCTCCACGACTGCACTATCCTCTTTCCCTCCCTCCTCTTTCCCTCCCTCCCCCCTCTTTCCCTCCCTCCTCGCCCCCTGCCTCCTCCTCTTTCCCACCCTCCTCGCCCCCTGCCTCCTCCTCTTTCCCTCCCTCCTCGCCTCCTCCCTCCTCCTCGCCGCCTGACCACCCCCTTTATCGGGGGCATTGGCACCTGCTGCTGCTGCCAACAGGTTAAGCCCGCCCTCCACAGCAGCTGTCAATGGGCTATCATTTGGTACCCATTGCTGCTGCTGCCGTCTGATCACCCCCTGTATCGTGAGCTAGTGTGCACCCGTGCGTGGTTCGGGTGGCGGCACTTCCGCCAGCGCTGCTACCTGCGGCCTGGCCCCCGCCAGCTCTGTCGCTCGTCACGCGCGCCAGGCTGCTGCAGTGCACGCACAGCGACCTCCAAGTCATCTAAGAACTGGGTAAGCCGCCGGTGCAGTTCTGGACGTGACTTAAGCAACTGGTGCACGTTCCTGCAGGACTTAATCGTTCTGCCCTGAACGGGGTTGAGTAGCCACGAGACATAGCCGATGCCAAGGTTGCTCACATCAGTAAGGACGTCAACGGCATGCTGCTTCAGATATGTGGCAAGATCCTCCTCTGCATATATACAGAGGAGTGGACAGTTGTTTGCCTTTCAAGTGCTTGGACTACTGTCACCTCAGTGATTCACTGTTTTTCCTGAGAGACCGGCGCCGCGCTGCTACGAAGGTTTTCGCAAAGACGTAAACATGCTAGGCCTATGCATGATGTAAGGCGCGTCTTCTGGCCAAAATTGGGTCGCACTGAGCAGGTCAAAGCACAGCAGCGCTTCTGGTCTACTTTAGGCATTCTTCTTACTGTACAAAAATCTTACAAATGAAGTATGTAGCTACATGTAGCTAAAATAATAATTTTGAACGATCGGCCGTAATCAAAGTGGACATCCACTAAGTTAGTGGAACTAGATTCCACTACAAGAGTGGACACAGTAGGGCCCCCTAAGGTGTATCAGGATGTTTGTTTGCATATCCCTCCAAGCGAGAGGGCTTGCACCTATGCTGATGTTCGTTCCAAGAAGTGAACTGAGGACTGATGCTACGGTGAAAGATTTGCACCTAAATTCGCCCGTGCAATAAAACGCCCTGTAACTCGCTTACGCTAATCTCACATTCCAATATGCCACTGCACTTTTCTCTCCAGCCTGGCCACATTCTCTTCCTCGCAAACGTACTTGGGCACCTTACAATCCAACACCATACGGGCTTTGGAAACGCGGGCAGCTGCTTCACAAGGACCCCCCTATTTCAGCTGTGCAATCAACCTGTTGCGCTTTCAGCATCGAGCTGTGTAAGCAATGGGAATAATCTCTGTGATGTCAGGTATGTTATATTCGTTCGAGTTATTGAGTTACATGGTAAAGAGAGACAATCTGGGGAGCGAGATCGGCGTCCCGGCCTTCGTCACTGTTGTTTCGGTTGTAAATCCTCGCCTTTCTGAAATGCTTTGATTCGTTTGTGACTTGTGCGAACATCGGCACGACTTTATTATTTATAATTGTTAAATAATTGTCCATTATGCTGTGCGTTGACGCGCACTTTGGGTTGGGCTCCGGTCTGGGCTGCAAGATCACTCGACCCATCCGTCTCCAAAAGTCGTGGAAAGCGCAGGCGAGGTCGTTGCCACGAGCAACAGGATTTCTGCACACGTGCTTTCGGGATAACGACCTTTCTGTATGTGCATGCAAATGCAGTTATTGGCATGCATTCGCGTAAGCAGTAGTAGAGTCGGAACCTACGGCAGACGGTTGGAGGGTTTCACTCAACAGCAAGCTATGCAAAAGAAGTTTGAGTTATTTGTTTTACAAAATAAGGACGTCGCGGGCTACTAACTGAAAGAGCCTTTGTGCGATAAAAATGCAAATTGGCACGCCTATGCGCGCGGCTGCAAGCCAGCGTCCACTAGGCCTACGCTATAGCTGCCTTCCTCGTAAGCTTATTCGCGTGGTAGCTAACGCAGCGAAGGACCCTAATGCACCTATCCAGGTGAGCTCGAAAGTCCTGGGGCCCTGGGATGGAGATGCTGTGCTACACATGAAATGGTTCGGCTAAGCTCGTGTCTACCTATTTCCACACAGTCTAATCCTCTAGGGACGTTGTCGTCCCAGTCTGGAACCGTCAATCCACTGCCGCGCAGCGAGGAAGCTCGTCGATACTGGCGCACGGTAGGCCTTGCACCCGCTGTCCTTGTGGCTTGCGCTGCTGTTTGCTGCAATGACGGGTTCGTTAACCACCTGGAAGTACTGATCGCGCAGGTCTATGACTTCCCACAATGGCAGAAGCATCGCAGCCCGTACCGCTTTATGGAGCGCCTTTTTCAGCTCTCACAGTAAGTTTTATTTTGTTCTTTGCCTAAGAATAGCAACTGGGTTTGGGTTTGAGCGAGCATCATTAGAAGATACAGAACAATGCGCGACACGTATTGTGCCTCCTATTACTCTTTTCCGCAGGTCACACATCCTCCAAAACGCGCTACCGGCTATCTCCTGGGTGACTCTCGTCGCCACCATGGTTGCCGCTTACGGAACCTCGTACGACCAGCACCTGCTGCCGGACGGCTTTCCCTCCATCTCTCCCAACGCCTCCTGCAGCGCTTTCGTCTCCAACACCAGCGTCGCGCTTTCCCTGCTGCTGGTCTTCCGTACTAATTCCAGCTATGGCCGCTGGGATGAAGCGCGCAAGATGTGGGGCGGTCTGCTCAACCGCAGCCGCGACATCATGCGCCAGGGCGCTACCTGCTTCCCGGATGACCAAGTGGAGGCGAAGAAGGCCCTGGCGCGCTGGGTCGTGGCTTTTGCGCGGGCGCTGCGGATTCATTTCCAGCCGGAGGTCACGATTGAGAGCGAGTTGAAGAACATCTTGACCCCCGCTGAGTTGGAGATGTTGGCGAAGAGTCAGCACCGGCCTGTGCGTGCCATTCACGCCATCAGCCAGGTCGGGGCGGGGGGCGGGGCGGGGCGGTCTGGTCGTAGTGGGTGCCTTGAAGGCGGGAACGGTGTACTGCGTTGGTTTTGTGCGGGCTGTGTCAGGTCAGGGTTTTTTAGGGAACAGACACTGCCTTGACACTGCCCTCTCCCCTCGAATCCTGTCCCCCTCTCTCCCCCTCTCTCCCCGGAGGCCCCTCTGGTACACCTTCCAGAACCTTCAGAGTGCATCTCCTCCCCTTACTCCTACCTCTTCCCCCGCCTCCTCCTTCCTCCCCAACAACAGATCATCCAGTCGGTGCCCATGAGCTCCATCCACCAAATGCAAATGAGCAACAACCTCACATTCTTCCACGACGTGCTGGGAGGCTGCGAGCGGCTGCTGCGCGCGCCCATTCCCGTGTCATACACTCGCCACACGGCACGCTTCTTGTTCGCCTGGCTGACGCTGCTGCCCTTCGCGCTGTACCCCAGTGCGGGTTGGGGTGTCGTGCCCGTGTGCACGGGCATTGCGGCTGTGCTGTGCGGCATTGAGGAGATCGGCGTGCAGTGCGAAGAGCCCTTTGGGTGAGGGGGGGGGTGCGTGTGTTTGGGGGGGGAGACGCGGGACGTGGACTGTGTAATGGATTTGGCACGCAGGCTCTCGTGTCCCTCTCAAATTTACCGGTCTCGAGGATGGGTTCGTAGGCTGACAGATTGACAAACGGACGAACCCATATAATAGAGAAGAACATATTGATCATTATCCCCAAGTGGAAGGACCTCCTCCCCCCCCCCAAAAGTGACCTTGCGGCCTTACCCCTCCTCCCCCCCCTCCGTGTCCCCCGCACGTTCTCCGCTCCGCTCCACACACACCCCCGCGACCAGTATTCTGCCTCTTGATGTCATTTGCAACCGCATCCAAGCGGACGTCATGGCCACGTTGAAGGACGATGCGGACACGAAGACTGTGTTGGCTGAGGCCGGGCTGGTCAGCCTGCTGCCCTCCGCAGCAGCCACCACCCCGCTGGTCGGCGGCAGTGGCCCCGCGCTGGTGGCTGCTACTGTTGCCCCCACAGGCAGCAACAGGAGCGGCAGTAGCAGCCCCCAGGTGGCTTATGCGCAGGGCTCCCCGCAGCGGGTGGGAGGAGGGGGCTCGGGAGCTGGTGGTTTGCAGGTGCAGGTGCAGGTTGGTCCTGAGCGGAATTAGGGGGAGGAGGGAGGAGGTGACTTGGGGGGAGGAGGATGAAGATGATGAGGTGAGGGGCCCCCTTAGGGGGTCGGGTTTGGAGGGAGGGAGGAAAAGATAAACATCTTTTACGAGGTGGAGCTGGCGGTGGTGGTGATGGCGGACCTCACGGGTTTGTGAAGGAGAGGGAGGAGGGTGATGGGTGGAGGACGCGCAGAAGAAGAAGAAGAAGAGAGGGAGTGTTTGGGCAGGAAAACACAGCAGGCGGATTGGTAAAAGGGGTAAGGTGTTTGTAGAGTAAAGCTGCCTGTTCCGCAATCTGCGTGTGCATATGTACGTATGTGTGCGCACGTATCGTGTCTGTAGGATCATTTTTTCATTAAAATCTGCGTTTCGTGCTTTGCACTTCGTAATGTTGTGATGTAAGTTATACTACTCGTTCGCTGTGTGTTGGGTTCCGCAATATCGCACTGCGCGCCGCAACCCTGCCTGGCGGTGATGTAGTGCGATGTATTCGTATACAAATACACACACACGTTTGCACGTGTACACACGTGTAGACGCGCGCGAATTACTTCTTCAAGTAGTGATTCCGAATGCGAGGTTGTAGCTAGCCCCTGTGTGCGATTCCTGATCGAGCCTTGAAACTGCTTGTTAAACCCCAATAAAACCTGTACATGAACGGTCTGACTTACAGACAAAGAGCAAGAGGGCATGCAGGTGGTCCGGGGAGGGACGTGCGTCAGGGCGCTAGGCGTTTGTGTGTTTGTGGGGTTTGTGAGACGTGCGCAGTTGGACGCCGCTGCTGATTAGAGCGGGGAGCTCTCATACAGTGTGTGCTAACCAGTGTGCGTGTGTGTGTGTGAGTGGTGTTGAAGAGGATTGAAGGTGAGGGTCGGAAGAGTTGGAAGTCTTCAGATCGCAGAGCGATGTAGGGTAATGTCCATGGGCCGCCTCGGCTTTTATACGGACCCATCCGCAGTCGTGCGGCACTGTAACTGTAACTTGGGTGGTTGAGAGATGGTTGTCATTGCGATGATGTTGGAAAGGGATATGTGTAAATGACAGAGGGCATAAGTCGAGTATGGAGTGATATAGAGAGATTGTATGGTATTGAATTGTACACGGCTTTTGGAATTTTTTTCTGATCTGAGCTAAATGCATGCGAAGGATGCAAGCAAATAAAAGAATACGCGCGTTTCATGAAGATAAATCGTGAATGTGTAACAGAGAGAACACGCGTATGTGCAATTAAATGCAGAGCAAGGTTCATGATGATGATGATGAGAATGTCGAATCAAGTTTCATCAGACCATATGGTTGACATGCATACATGTGCCCACCTTTAGTACACATCAAAATGCGCATCTAAAACCGACTGTCTGTCGCCTGCCGACCACACCTTTCTGGACTAACTTAAAGCCATAATCTCTAAAAGGAAAAGTTGAGGACACATCAGATGCTGATGATTGTTGGTAAACAACCTACATGACCCACATGAATACAACTTAACGCATGAAGATTAAGTGTTGTCGTGCTGATAAATGATGTGCATCTACTGCAGTTCATATTATACAGCGTTGGCAGTTAGTTTAGAAACCTCAGCCGTGATGGCGCTTATTTCCATGTCCCGCTGCCACTACGACCACACTACAGCTACCATCATCACCACCATCATCACCATCACAACAACAACGAGGGGTTGACATTTTTTGACGTTTTGACGTGTGCCGGAGATGCATCTCGCTCACAGATTGATAAGACCAGAGATCAGCGATGCCACGCGAGCCTACAGCAAGGAAACGTAACACCCCCGAGAAAACAAAACCGTTCACTTCAATAGCTCGCTCGCACCGGTGCGCGTGTGTGTTTCTTCCTACTACACTATAACTGTAATTCGACAACGAAAATGAATTTGCCAGTACTCTCCCCACTGCTGAAGAACCCACCACCACGGTCCAAGTCCAACCTTGCGGCAACGCGCCACCGCCCCGTCACCCTCTGCTCTAAATACTGACCCGCCTCTGCCACCACCACCACCACCACCACCATTCCCACCATCACCATTCCCACCACCACCATTCCCACCACCACCATTCCCACCATCGCCAGCAAAAGCGCTCTATCCCGAGATAATCGATTGTTGTCCCCCGATGGAAATTGAGAGCACCCGAACGAGGGGAAAATTGTGACACTGACAAATTTGATGAATGCTCCTCAAGTGGCGGCCCCCTGATCTGAGGAAGTAATTCACCCTTTAGTCAAAAGCCAGGCGCCAGGAGGGGTCCAGGAGGGGCCACATCGCGCTGGCGTACGGAATACCCCCATACCCGTGCCATATGTCGGTTGGGTGGCAGGCCTGGAGGTGCTCTCCGCTCTGTGTGTGTCCCGATGAGCAGCCGGCCCCCCTCACCCCCCCCCACCGCCGTCCGGTATCCCGACCACCCTCCCCCGCTGTGTGTATCCTACTGATATCCACTCACTCACTCACCACTCACTCACCAACCACTCACATTCATATCCTTCCTTCCGAGCAGTGCAAGGCCACATAATCACAAATGCCAAATCTTTCTAGGCTCCTCCCTCCCTCATCTCCCTACCCACCCATCTCCAAGGATCTTTAGAAGGGCACCGACTTACATACAGGCACACACATACACACACACGCGTCATCACGTGCTGCTGCAGGAGGGCAATCAGCAGCGACCCTACCTACCTCTGCAGCGCCGCCCTCCCGACTCCGCCCCACCCCACAACACCACTGCCTCGGGAAGGAGGCCACTGGTGAAGCTGTACCACCCTGTAACAACAACAACAACTCCACGCACACACACATGAAAAAACGCACATATTGTGACTTAGGGCTCGTTCGTTCGTTCGTTTTCTTGCTCATAAGCTGCCTGGAATACGAACTCCAGTACTAGCTACTAACTAATCCTCCCAGGTCTTCATCAGTTGGTGGTTGGGCTTAAAAAGGGTAAAAGGAACGAGTACTGCACCATCTGCTCCATCATCGTTCAACCCTAAAACCCCAACAGTGTGGCACCCCTGGACCCTTCCTCCCTGTTCGTACGGTTCGTACGGCGGCAGAGCTCCCGTTACACCTTTGCGGGCGCACGCACACACTCCCAACGAAAACCCAGCACAACCCATCCGTACAGAAAAACCTACAACCCAATTGGTTTACATCTCCTGCTCGCGCTTCATTTGCGCACCTTACGCCGCCCGCACTTCTCTCCTCTCCTCCCCTCTCCGCATCCACTGCTCTGTTCCTCATCAGTGTCCTCTCTCACACCCTCCTGCACACCTTGCCTTCCCTCCCCCCCATCGCGCATCCCGTCACATCACATCAGCTCAGCCCCCGCCCCCCCTTACTCCCCCTCCCGCTGTTGCAACCCCTTCCCCTCCCTCCTTCCCCCCATTTCCGTACATACCCGCCTGTCTCCTCCTCGCCTGCCTTTCTCAAAAAGGCCACGTCATGTCCTGCGCGGCTTGTGCACACACACACACACACACATCCACACATACATCCACACATACATCCACACACACACACACACACACACACACACACATCCACACATACATCCACACATACATCCACACACACACACACATCCACACACATACATCCACACACACACATACATATGCACTCGCGCACACACAAACCTCCCATTCGTCTTCCGATCTACCCCGCCACACATCACATCACATCACATCACATCACGTCACATCACACCGCGGCCTCATCCGGTCTGGTGTGAACCTCTGCTCACCAGTTCCGGGTCATGTCCCGCGGGCTACAACCCTTGTCGAAATTCGCCGTCTGACGTCCCGCCTGAATCCCACAGCACTCCACAGACCGCGCCCCCGCCGCAACCCGGGGGACCCAGTCGTCCCCCCAGCTCACCTCCACCTGCCGAGCGTCGCCGGCGGCCATAGGACGGTAACGGAGCCCCGGCGCGTTCTCCGGCGCCGTCAGGTCGAAATTACCATACAGCGTCAGCGCAATGGACCAGTCGTACGCTACCCGTACATTGGGCTCCAAAAGCACGCGGTGGTAGCCAGCGGCGTGGAGGTCGTCGCACAGCAGGCTACACTCCGACGCGGCGCACTCGCCAGGGCGGTGGCTGCGAAAACGGAGCGGCAGCGTCTCCGAAGCCGCCGCCGCCGCCGCCGCGCTCTCCTCAGCCGCCTCCCCGCGATCGTCCGGGTAGTAGTAGTTCTCACTGCCGTCATCATCGCCGCCACCGTTCCACATCGTACCCTCAACGTCATTATCGTCAGCGGCGGCGGGCGCCGCTGTCGACCGCCGCCGCCGTGTCGTCGTCGCCGCCGCCGTCAGCGCCGTCGTTCTCCCCCGCAAAAAGGGCTCCGCACGCAGGTTCACGAGTCCGTTCCAGCAACAATACGCAGGGGTCGGGACGCCCTGCGCCAAACGGTCAGCGGTCCAGGGCTCCAAAGAGTACGGCTCGCGGTTTCGGATCCGGTTGCCGGACGCGTCACGTGAAACCCACATGTCGTAAAACACGGGGAATGACCAGGGCCAGAACGCCCGCGATTTGCCGTACATCTTTTTCCAGATTTTGAACGGCAGCCAGGAGTGACTGAGACCCTCTGCCCAGCGTCGCGGCACACCCAGGCCACCACTGAGGTGGTCCGCCATGAGCCGTTCGCGTTCCGGCTTGGTTAGCAGCCACAGAGCGGCAGGCACAAAGTCCATCCCACACGCCATGTCAGTGCTGTCGTACCGCAATAGCCGCCGTACATCCATGGCACAGAAAAACACGTCGTTGATGAATATGACCCGATCCATTTTCAGCGGGCTACTGCCGCTGGCTGTACTAATGGTACAGTCCGTAACGTGTTCCCCGGCTGCTGCGGCAGCGGCGGCACAGGGCATTTCCGTACCACGACCGTGACGTGGCGGCGGCGGGTCCACGAGAGGCTCCATGACCGCGTTGCGGACTGCCGCCAGGAAGCGGATGCGGTCTTCGCCGCCTAGGTTCGCCGCCTGTGGGTCGCCCCAGCGCAGCCACCGACGGCCCTCGGTCCGCCGCCGTCTCCGCCGCTGCTGCTGCTGCTGCTGCCGCAGCTTCTGCAGCTGCTGCTCCCGGTTGATATCCCCTCCGGTCACAATGCGGTTGGGTACCCCCAGAATGTCTAAAACCCGCCGCAGGTAATCCAGCAGCACGGGCGTGGAGTCCTGTCGGGGGGGGAGGCAGGGCGGAGGGAGAGAGAGGGGGGAAGTTGTTGGAAGGAAGTGGAAGTGGAGGACGGGGAGGAACGGTGCCCCGAGGAAGGTGGGTAACGTCACATAAGTCGAGGCGTTCATTAAGAGTGTGTTGTACACGTTTACGTAAGGGATGAAAGAGGAAAAATGAATGTGTGCTGTTCCATACCGTACTGTACTGCATCGTACAGTCATGTACTGTAGAATGTGCGTGAGGTTGGGCAGCGACCGGGGAGTTTTAGCGGCCGTTGATCACACGTATGTATGTCAGCCGGCACCGGCCGAGTGGCGGTGGCCACTGGTGTGCGGTGGCGGCCCAGGGAGGTGGTGGTGCGGGGGAAGCTGAAGCTGGATGTAGTAGGGTGTAGTAGGGTGACGTTCGGTGTTGGGCTGGTTGCATGGCATACACCGGTGCTGCCTCTCTCTGTTTGAATCTAGTGTCCAAACCCCCTGGTTAGCAGCGTCCCTGTCACGCCGCAGAACTCTGCGCGTGCACTCCCTGCCTTTCAATTGTTTTTGAGCCTCCTGGCTGTCAGAGGCTTTGGGGCGGGGCCCGAGAAGAAAAATGCCAACAACTGGCGTGTGTTGTATTCTTCGATTTCGGCTACTACTCACCGTGCTCCCGGACTCATACACCGACACGAAGCAACGCTGTGCATGTTCTCCCCCTCCGAGGCTGCCGAGGACAGCGAGGAGTTGTAAGATCATATTCGGCAAAACTTCGGCTGAGTTGTAAAGATTGACGGCAAAAAAACAACCCTTGCTGCAGCCAGTGGAATTTTGCGGGCCCTGCACGCCATGCGTTGCCATACACGGCAAGGTGTGTCCAAGACTTTCAATGCTTGACAGCAATTCTGCGAAGACTCGACTGGCTCGATCTGGATGCTGCGGGTCCAGACCGGCTGCCAAACGGAGCAATCGGAGCTGCATTTGCGAAGCATCTTCGCCTGCGCCCCTGATCTGCTCGTCCAGTTCGGACAAGAACATGTTGATGTCGGTCGAATGAAACTCGGTGCTTGGAACTGAATAATGGTTTGAGAGCAAGGCAGACGTCGCCAGGAGAATCGCGCACGCAAGCAGGATGCTTAAGGCTTGTTTACGCAATTTGGGCAAGAAATGCTGAGTCCCATTATTGACGCGTGCTCTTGTAAGCGGATGCGGCCCTCCGGGCAGCCTCGCCATGGCTCACAGTCAGCAAGTGCTCATATCACGGCGAGCCTGCTAAGTTTGTCCAATAACGTCGTTGCACGCAGAATATCATCATGATGAATACAATTCTCGCCTTGCGGGTTGAAAGTGTTCTCCTATAACTGCTGTTTAAACAGAGAACCTGCCTCCGGGTTCCTGGTTTTCAAGTGTCTACGGTATGGATATAATCACATAAACGTGGCTATTGAGCGGATTATCATACTGTTATCTGATGAACACCATAGCGTGTTGCATCACGTACAGGCCGTTCCAAATTTGCAACGATTTTCCCGATCCTCCTATTTACTATAAACTTGAGCACCTGAGACCATGGAAGATAGTCTGTCCAGATTTGGTTGCCTATGCTCGATCAGTCTTTCGCCTAGCCCGACTTGCCGTCGGTCAAGAAGAGGTACAGCATCGAGCCTGCCGTTTCGACCGCTTGTCAGACAGGTATCAGGAATGCTAACGGCTAGACTCCATTATATACTGCTCTCCAACAGGAACCTATTAAAATATAAACTCGCAGCATCTTATTGAAAACTTTGAAAATTGTCTTTAAACCTGGCGGCGCCGTTACTTTTGAGCAGACCACCTTTGTTTGTATTTCTGAGGTCGGCTTGAAGGGAAACAACACACGGCAAGCAACATACATCTTCGGGCGAACCGCCTTCCTAAACTCTTTTTTGGACAACTTTTGGGCGCCCCTGCGGTCAGCTGCGCAACCTAGAGGAAGACTCTAGTATCAACCAACAGGGGAAGGTACTGGCCAGGAAAGCACCTGAGGAAGCAGAGTCTCCTTTCCTCCGACTCGCTTGGGCCCGCGGGTATTTCATTCAGCAGTGCTACCTTATAAACCCAACGGCCGGGGACGCACCAGGCGAGACATCACCCCTGGGACGCACTCAGATATGGATTGATTGTTACATGGTGCCGGCAACCGAAGCGAGCACAAACCATATATCGTTATGCAAGGCCTAAACGAGCCGAAAATCCATAGACCTGCAGCCAGCAACGGAAGACCTGATACCCAGCAAAGGAAGAATAGACAGACGGAGATACACTAAACGAAGAGGGATCACATTTTTCCGAAGTCGATGGGCTTTGACTAAAATATATATATCTCAGCGAGCTTCGGAGCTTGGAAGTTCCTGCACGGGGATAGTTTGGCCCATATCGTCGTCAACGATGTGAGGGATGTGTGCGATTTCAATCGCGGGCGTACGGCATTCGGTATTTGGATGGCGACCTGCATAGCCTGCGGTAAGCGAGATAAGCATTACCGCCACGTCCGGGTTGGTTAACAGCTAACGGTCCAAAGCGCAGCTCCCCAACAGAGTTAAGCTGCTCCACCTCCTCTCTTCCTCCACCGAAGAACTCAACAAGCAAATCCCCAAACACGTCCATGCGCGCATCCACGTCCACATCCACATCAACAGCAACACACATATCGCAGAGAAGGTCAAACTACGAAGCCGCCCATGCCCTCTCATCGCAAATACAAAATCCATAGCCCGATACAGATCGTTCTGGCACTGTCCTTTCCTCTCCCTCTCTTCATCGAGCCCAGCCCATTCCGTCCACTTAGAAGCATATATCGGCTCGGCTCGGTTGGGCCGCACCGCCATGGCCCTGACCATGTAGGGTTGTGAAGGACGAGAACCCTCCAACTGATTGGGCACGCGCCGAAACCCATTCCGGACGACCAAAACACACACAAAATACACACTGTCGGCTGGTTGTCGGCGCCTGCCGTTGCTCCGCCTTCGTCCTTGCACCTCAGCCTTGCGACCTCAGCCTTGCAACACCAATTGCTCCTCTCTTCTACGGCGGTAAAGCTCATCACACTCGACATTACATCATTTCAAGGAACAGATCTTCTCTTTCCGGGTTACATACATACATACAGGCAGGCGGCTGGCAGAGGTTAAGGCCTGACTTCTGCTCCCAGTCGACCCAGTCGACCCAGTCGACCCGGGTTCAAATCCGCCTGCCGGCTCCTCGGGTGTTTGAGGAGTGATGAAATGGGAGGTGGCCCCCCATCTTATGGACGGTGTAGGACGTGATAATATCAACTTGCGAGCTGACCAGGAACTCAGTTGATGCGCCGTTGATCCGCTAGATTTGGTTGGATGCTGGTGGTGAGTTGCCGAACCCAACGAATACATTCTGAAGTCGGATGGGGTGACGGATTAGGGTGCCCCTCTAGCAGGGGAGAGCAGGGACTGCCCCGGGAAAGGGGGCCGCTGGCGAAGTTGACCACCCTGTAACAACATACATACATACATGGGCGGGACCGCAGACGGGGCCTGCACTGAATGCGCCCGGGGATGAGGACGAAACGCAGGAGCGGAACACGGCGACAGGGGCGGTAGCAGCAACGGCAGGTGCGGTGGCAGCAGCACCCGCAGCAACCCCCTTGGAGCGGGCCTGCGAACTGGGCAGTGGTGGACTTCTGGGCGCGTCTGCGCTCCTTCACGGCGCTGGGCACCCCGCGGAGAGGCTGGGACAGGGTGGGACCCGACCACCCGATCCTGTCGGTTTCAGAAGGCGCACTGCGGTGCGCCGAAGCGGTGGAAATTATTGCCTAAGAGCGCTTTGAGCTTAGTTTGTAGGGCAGGGCTCGGGGGGGTATAGGAGTTCGAGGGGGATGGGGGTTGGAGGACAAGGGAATAGGTGAGAGGGAACCCCGAGACGGGAGAGGGAGAGGAGAAGGACGGGGAATGGAGGCGGTCACGTCGTGCAGGGAAGAACCCTTTTTCTTCCCTAGTGCCACTCCGAGGTTGTAGGGTGCTGGAGAGCCGGGGGGAGGTGGGGTCGCTCGGACAGGGGAGGGGGGAGATGGCGGTGAGAGCGCCAAAAGGACGTAGGTTTTCTGGTGTTTGGGAGGTTGAGGTCTGGTGGTGGTAGCGGGGCTCGGATGAGGGGGAGGTGTGGCCCGAGGAGGGCCATTCTATCTAGACACGTCTTCTCTGTGGGACTGGGTTGCTTGGTGAGGGACGAAGGTGAGAGCGGTGCAGTACGAGACAGGGTGAATAGGTTTCTGGAGGACCGCCCGTTCAGGTTAGTGGCGGTAAGGGGGAGGCGCCGCGCGGGCTACAATCCTCCCCCTGCGGTTTTCTGGAGGGTCTAGGAGCTGTGTGTCGTGGCAACGCTAACGCTTTGGTCGTTTCGCCGGACTATCCCGGGCCCCTGCAGTGGTGATCAGGCTTGTGCGGGATCCCTTTTCTTTATAAGGCTACTTCTCCCCTGGACCAGCCCAGGAAGGGACAGGTGGTGGAGGTCAGTTGTTTTAAGGTGGTTGCAAGACGTCTTGTGGTGTCGAGCTCTCTTAGCCTTTCTCTCTTGGAGGTTTTTTGTTGGCCTGTTAGGTATATCAGGAGCCCTCCCCTGCCGGGACTGCCCTAACCGAATTTTTGTTTGTTTGTTTATTTTCCCCTCGAATCCCGTTTTCGTTGGTGGTGTTTTGTGGGGTTGTTTCAGAGAGCCTTTGACTTTGCCCTAGCTGAGACTTGTGGACTCGCTCTAGCGGGACCTGAGAGCCCTTCGTGGTGTATTCAATGCAGCGCCATCCCCGGATGGAGGGGCTGCGGAGTGGCTGCGTAGAGTGTTGGCAGTCTGAGTCGGGGTCGGGAGCACACAAGACTAACCGACTTGTGATGTGTGCTCCCGACCCTTGCGCTGTGTTTCGGCTTCGGCCCCCGGCTCTCGCGGCCCACAGTGTAATCTAAGTCATACATACATACATACATACATACATACATACATACATACATACATACATACATACATACATACATACATACATACATACATAACACACACTAGTACGTAGAATCATTGCTGCTCGGCAGTGCTGCAGCTGTGCGTAACTACCTAACCAACTACCTAACCAACAAACGGAAGCACTCCCTTCTTTTGTGACGCACTCGGGGCCCTGCACTGTTAGGCAGCGCTCAGCTCAAAATGATGCGAGAGCATGGCTGAAGTAGATGGATAGATACACCAACAGCCCGCTTGTGACGCACTCGATTTCCCTCCCCCCCATAAATAAGCCCCCGTGGACTATATTTCATTGCATCCACTTCCTTCAGCTCCTCCGTTCCCGCGCTCACTCGCACCCACACAATCGCCCTCTGCGCCATATGGTGGCCTTATAGCGCCCCGGCGCCTGTCCGGCACGGAACAGATGAGACGGGCGTGAGGATGTGCCTTTTGCCGTTGCCTAAGTGCTGCCAAGTGCTGCCCTCCTGCTGCTACTGCTGCTGCTGCTGCTGCTACTGCTGCTGCTGCTACTGCTGCTACTGTGACGTCAGCTGCTACTGCTGCTGCAGCTGCTGATGCACCCCTTGCTCCCCACACGTGTTCTTATGACATCTGATCGTTGCGGTGTTCTTTCCGCAGAGCAGCAGTCGCAGTAGTAGCGGCAGCGGCAGCACGGCGGACGAGCTTAAGCAGGAAGGAGCACCTGTCAGGTGGACGACCCTGAAGGTACGGCATGAAGGCCGGCTCCACCACGCCGCTGTCACGGTAGCCAAGGCTGCGGTACAATGCCTGGGGTAGTGCACGGCGCCGTGCGTGCGTCAGCATGTACGCACGCATATCGAAGGAAATAAGTATGTACGTATGTAGGTAGGTAGGTACGCAGGCATGAGGTCGCCGTACGGGATTTCTCCGGTGGTGCGGCTTTGTAGCCCCGTCCCCCGGCGTCACAGGCAACAAAGAGGGGAGACGAGGGAGGGGGATGAGGGAGAAAGGGAGGGGAACCCAAAAATACCACCCGATACCACGCACGCACCCACACGCACCCAGGGCTCTCTCTTCTTAGGGTTGCAATGCAGTCCCACCGCCCGACAGCCCCACTCCGCCGCCATCCCCTCAGCCGCCGCCATTAGCCCCCGAGCTACACCTCGCCGCCGGGCGGCCGGGGCCACCGCCACGTTGCTCACATAGGCGTAACCTTCCAGGTGGGGGGGAGGGAGGGGGGGAGGGAGGGAGGGAGGGAGGGAGAGGGGGGGGGAAGACGAACCACGAGCGAGTGAGGCTGCTGCCAAGGAAAGAAAAGCAGAACTGGTAAGTAGGCGGATTGAACGACGGAGGGAGAAAGGGAGGGAGGGAGGGAGGGAGGAGGTTAAGCCTCCTAAGGTTGACGGGGTCCTCCAGGGAAAGCCAATCCTGCGGTTCAACCATATAACCAGGCCAGGGCAAGGCCAAGATCAAGCCAGGCAGGCCAGCCAGTCAACTGATATCATATCAGGGTCCATCCGTCCATCCATGGCCGCCCAGGTGCCCAATCGTGACCCAGACAGACAGACAGACAGACAAGACAGACGGACGGACAGACAGGAAGACCCAGCGGCCCATTCACAAATGCGTAGGAGCGCGGCCGTCACACCAGCTCGCCTCTGGGGCCTGGCGGGCCCATCCCCACGCCAGCCGTGCCGTACCTTCCCTGCGGTACCATCCCATTTGTCCGTCCGTCCGCCAGTTGAGCTCCCGGGGAGGCACCAGGTCCCCGAACGAGTCCACCGCCGCCACTCCCACCAGCCGTATGGACTGCGAGCGGCGGAAAAAGAGGGGAGGAGGGGAGGGATACATATAAGTCATGGCAACAACTGCCGGCTCGGGTGAAACAACGAGAGGGGGAAGAGTGGGGGAGAAGGGTTACGCGGTGAAGGGAAGTCTATGTCTGGAGGTGGACTGAAGGGAAGGGGGGAAGGCTGGAAGGGGGGAAACAAATGCAATACCAAGAAAAAGGACAACCGAGGGAAGAGGGGAAGAGGGGAAGAGGGAAAGGGGAAAAGCACAAGGCGCCATGCAAGGATGCCAATAAATTTACAAACTGCCGATCACGGGAAAGAAGGAGGGGAGGGGTGGCAAGGTGGCACCACAGCGCAGCGAACGCTGGGCGAGGCGGGAAAAACAGGAAGCCGCATCCACCGGTCGCCACCAATCGTCCTCTCGCCCCCTACCCCCTACCACCAACCCCCACCTGCGCCGATACGCCCACCCCAGGTCTGACCCCGGGCGCAAGGGCCCTGCCCAGCCACCACATGGGCTGGGGGAAGGACGCATTCAGGGGTGACCCACGGGTCATTTGAGCTGCCTGAGCGCGAGCCTGAGCCGCGCTGAAAACCGCCTCCGCCGCTGCAGCTTGCTCCGGAGTGCTGGGGGCGCCCCCCTCGAAGGCCAGCAGCAGCACAGAGCTGTGTGGTGCCCGGGGTGAGGGATGTGGAAGATGGGGGAGGTGAAAGGGAGGGAGAGTAGAGGACGAGAGATTATGGCGGAGGAAAGTGCATGTTTGTAATATCACAGTGCACATCAGCCAACAACAGCAAGGAGGGGCGGGGAGGGGAGAGCGCAAACCAGGCGGTGCGGCGCTTACATTGTGGCGGTGATGTAATACTGGGGTGGGGTCCAGCAGGCGGGCAGAAGGGGGTGGGTCTTAGCGAGAAGAGGAAGAGGGTGGAGAAGGGGGTGAGGAGGGCAGTAATGAACTACTATTCGTGTTCTATGGGTGTGTGCTTGTGTATGCTGCATGTGCTGATGTGTTTTTTGCGTGTATCTGGGCGCGTTCATGCGTACTCGTCTGTGTGAGTGTGTGTCTGTATGTGTGTGTATTTGTGTGCTCGTGACACTTCCCCTCCCCCTCCCCCTCCCCCTCCCCGACAACGACTACACAAAAAATGTCGGTAACGTTATGGGACTGTAGTCCCGGAACCATGGGTCAGTGGCTTCAGCGCTTTAGACTCACTAGGCAGTTTATAAGCTTTGGACGACAGCGTTTAATTCCTAGTTTCCTTACGTAAGTATGTTCTTCCCCTTCTCTCCCAGCCCATCTCGGCCGCCCTCGGGCACCTCGCGCCACGGACCCCAAAACCCAACCCGGCCGTCACGACCCCTCTCAGGCCCCCACCTCCGCAACCTCCCCGCCAACCTCCCCGCCAACCTTATCTAGCAAACCTTATCTAGCAATCCTTACCTAGCAAACCTTACCTAGCAAACCTTATCTCGCCAGCCTCATCTCGCGCAGCCGGGCCCGCAGCAGCAGCCCCATACCTAACTGCCCCCTGGACCACCGTTGGACCATCTCCTCCTAGTCACACATCGCTGTCACACGGGGCTGACCGCGCCATATCCCATCCTGCTACACGCCTCCATCCCGTGCCACCCCGCCCCACTAGCCCACTCACCCGCTTATCCCACACCCCAAGCCCGTCAACCCTTCCTCTTTCCTCGGCAGCAGCTTCACTCGTTCGTGGTTCGTCAATCCCCCAACACACACACACACACACACCCCGCTCTGTCCGTTACTCACTTTCCCCCCCCTTCCCGCGCCAACTTGTCGTTAATCTGTAACGCCATGATGCGGTCCACGAGGAGGGAGAGATCCTGTGTGTGTGCGTGGACGTGGCAGGTAAAGCAGCAGGGCAGACAGACAGTACTACAGACAGACAAAGCTGAGATTTCAAACGGATACATGTCCGAGCCGACCCAACCGAGCCGACCCAAATCGAAGAGGACCGACATAAGTGCAGAATACAGCAGCACCAGTTGACTGGAGATGCTGTGCAGCACTGAAATAGCCTGACTTACGGCTGCAGGCTGCTGCTACTAAGTCTTGTCACTACTACTGCTGCTACAACGTACTACGGTTTTGATATCTGTTATCTTTATTACAAGTAGCATCCTCGCGACTACAATGATCATTAACAAAGAACCTTACACAAGGCATGCAGCAGTCGCATTTCTCCTTCCCCGCCCCCTTTCTTCCCCACGAGTCCCCTCTCTTCCCGCATCCACACACACACACCTTGAACACATCATCATCCCCTCCAACATCTCCGGCAGCGTTGAAGACACGACAGTGGAGGTCCGCAGCGGGCCAGTAATCGACCAACTCCGCGGGCCTTATGTGGATGGCCCCGCTGCTGCTTGCGCCGCTGCTGACGCTGCTGTTGCTCACAACTTTGCTATTGCAGCCAGTGGCGGTGTTGCGAGTTGAAGGGGTTTCTGGGGCTGCCGTCGGTCCTGGTACCATGTGGTGCGACTGCGCTGCCAGATGGGGACAGGGCAGACGTTGCTGGGCCGATGTCCTCCTAATGGGGAAAACGTTTGTCCTGGCGCAGCGCGGTAAGCTCCGATAAGATGCTGGAGGCTGGGAGTTTCGAGCTCCAGCTGCTGACGATGGTGTTGGTGGGGATGGGCCCGATGCCAGCACAAGCAATGCAGAGCGCATGGGAACCCTGCCGAGATGACAGCGCTTACAGCGTCTCAATCAAACAATGGTCCAGCTTTCCAGGAAAAGAGGTGTCAACTCCTGGTCGTCTATCATCAGGACCGCAAGTCTATTCGCTTCAAACAATAGCATCTATCCTCTGGCATGCGTGAAACAACCTTTTGACTCATGTATATTTCGAAGCCAAGAGTATAATAGCGAAAAAGTTGCTGAATCGAGCTTCGCTTTACTTTGTAAGGTTGCGTGGAGGTTTATGCATGAAGGTTGTGCATAAATTGTAGATAGAACAAGAGCAAGCTCTCTTAGCACTTTTGCTGCGATGCTAAGGATATCGGGATTCGGAAGCGAACTCCTTTCGCTTCCGGAATCATAACAGCTCCCTGCCGTACGGACAGCAGCCGTCAGCCAGGAATAGCTCCTGGCCTAAAAGCTCCTGCCCTAAGATGTCTGCTTCGTAATGTGCTGGAATGCCTACGACCGCAGGCATCCCTGCTGTCAGCATAGGATCGTGATATACGCATGAAACCAGTGACAAAGGCATATACCGTACACAAGATGCGGTTGTGCAGGGAGCCGTTGGGAAAGCCTGCTCCGAGGCCTGCTGATAAGGATAACATAATATACGGTGCAGCATTTGCTACAGTACGCCGTAAAAGCAGCGAAGCCGTGAAATAAACCTCACCATCCGTTGGAATGCGAGGAGGTAAGGTGGCTCCCGTACCGTACGACGTGAAACCACAAACGTTTCCCGGTGGACTACAGGCCCACGAAAAGTACCGATGCGCAACCAGGTAACCTTCACACACTGAAAGATTTGGCCTTCAGACAACCAGACTACGCAAAGCAAACGTTACCCCCGTGTGCATAGCCCACAACGCAGGGTAATGCTGCAGACACATTAAGAGATAATTTCACGACTATCTCAAATTCATGTTCGGGCTTTTGAATTCTGGGCTGCGTACGCTTCGGTTTTTGGTGAGAGGCTCACAAGCATCAAGCTTACGGGCATCCATTTAAACTCATGTTAACCTGGTTTATAAAGTCCAAATTGAGTGAAACAAGCATGTGCGCGTCCAGATCTCAAAGATTTACATATTGGTTTAAAACTCAGGTCAAGTTTTTGAGTTCTAAGCTGGTTACGCTTTAGGTAAAGCGGCTCACACATTTCAGGCTTTCAGGCATTAGTTCAAGTCCATGTAAGCATGGGCTATTGAAGTCCAAATCTGGTGAAAACGTCGTGTATAACATCCAGAATAAAAATATCTACACGTGGATGTTAAAATTGATGTTGACATATTCTGAAAACACCGATGTACGGCATCATCCTTGTAGCTTACCACCTGGCACTGCTCCTGTCAAAGCCGACTAGCTGCCGGCGTATGCGGCATGCAAACGTGCAAATGCAGCCCAGTAACCAATCCACCCTTTATATATCCCCCATTTCATGCCTTCCCTCACTCCCCCGTGCAATCCCCGCGTCACCTACCTACTCCATACCCACGCGAGTACACGCTCATCCTCCCATGACACCCTCTAACCCCTCCACCCTCTACCCATACCACAACACAGAGGTGCGTGTCTCGGCATGTAAAAGCTTTGCACGTCGCTATCTTCCTCTGATATCCCCCCCCTCCCCCGTCGCCTCGATCTTCGCTCTGTGTTTTTCCTTCCCACAGGATGACTCCCTTGCCCCACAATCCCTCCCATCTACCGTGGACCGCATTACCCTGTCCCACTTCTACTTGTTCTTCTTCTCTGCCGCCCCCTCCGTGAGGCCTAAGCGCCGCAGGTCAGCAGTGTAGCTCTGATAGCCCTTGGGTGGAGGCACGGGCGCGGGGAAGAGCGCTCGCAGGATGCGCTCCAGGTGCCAGGTGAGCAGGAAGGCGCCAAAGGACAGCCCCACCAGCTGCACCTTGATGTGCTACAGGCCGCAGCATCAGGAGAGCAGCCGGGAAGGAGGGTTGGGATCAGTCGACGCAAGAAAAAAAAAGACCAACTCCGGACATCCAAGCAGCAAGCTGAAGTGGGTCATAAGGCCAGAAGGGCGTGGCACGGGCAATACAAGGCAGTCTGCCGCAATCGAAGAGGCGGAAACCCTAAATCGATTCTTTTTTTTAAAAATGGTAAAAAAAAGGCAGAGGGGGTGGTGAGGAAGCGAGCGGGGGTGCTTCACTGGCGGGCGGGCCTGCGACTGGAGCAGCGTCGCCATGATGATGGATAGAGCATTTCGGGGAGTTGGGTTAGGGTGTCAAATGTAGGTGGGGGGTACGATGAGCCACTGACAAGTGAAACAGATACCAGAAATAGACGGATAGTCCAGGAGAAGACAAATGCTGCAGCAGGACTATTAACTGACCAGTGATGACTTAAGTAGAAATCTTGGCAGCGACATGGCCAGCTGGGTTGCAATACGATTTACTACTAGCTGGCACGTCCAAAGTCCAAAGAACGCAGGCAAAAACCCCAGAAAACTACCTAGCCATCGAGACGAAAGGAATGTCTTATAATAAAAGCAGAAAAATAACGGAAAGTGGTGACGCGTAGTGTTGACGCGTAGAAGTAAAGGCGGCAAAGACGAAGGGGTATCGGAAAGTGTACTGTAAGGGGAGGGTGGGGGCCCTACTCAGTCATGTCAACGCCTGGGATTACCAAAGGCAAAACGAACACGCGTGTGCAGGACCCGTCACACGTACTCATGCAACTAGAGCTCGCCCAGTGACAAGATTTCGGACATCTAGGGAGAAGTGTTGTCTTTGTGGTGCTCCCCGATTGGGTTGCCATGGAGGTCATGGAGGGCTGACTGTACCCAGCGATTTCCAATCAAATACTAAACACTCATGTAAGATGCTGTCTCACGTGAGGTATGGGCACCATGCCAAAGCTGCTGTTCAGGCCTGGTACCAGCTCCGCTGCCACAACAAACAGGAACGCCGCGGAGATGCGCAGGCTGTTGAACAGGTTCCGGTTCTCTACGATGGAGGTGTTGAAGGGATGCCCCACGTAGTTGACCGCAAACGTCATCATCTGTCCAAGGGGACCCGAAAAGGGCAAAATGGGGCAAGACGAGCCACGTGAACGAGCGAAGCTGATGCCAAGGATAGACTGATACGAAAAAACTATGAAATTTTCCTTTTTACAAGTTTTATTTGTATTATTAAGTATATTATATCAAGTGTAAGAAGTAATTAACCAGTCGCGACTTGTGGAGGAGGAGCAAAAGGAGGGAAGGTGTGTGGAGTGGGAACCACACGATCATGATATATGATGCAAGAGGCGGCCAAGGATGGGTCAACTGCCGGTCAACACGTCCAAAGCTCCTCCCAACTGTTCTTGTGCTGGACTAGTCCCAAGGCAATGATGCCAGTGCAGAGGGAGAGAGGTGGATGGGTGGGCACAGCGTTGGTGGTGGTTAGGAAAGGAGCGGCAAGGCACTAGAGTCGGCGTGTTGTTGGTGATGGTGGGGCGGTATGAAATCCGGCGTCAGGTACCAGAGAACCGGATAATACACCCATGCGGAAGCCATGCATCCAATCCACCCCCCCCCTCTATCCACCACCAACCGCCCACAATCTCCCCGCTATCGCTGCTGCTGGCGCTGCACAACCGCACACTATGGTGCAAGCAACCACCCACCTGCACCACGGCCTGCACCAGGTAGCACACCGTGTTGACCAAATTGGGTTTGAACTCGGACTCGGACGACAGCCGCTCCGAATCCGGCATGGACCCCAGGGACAACCGGTAAAAGTAAATCTGCGCAACATACAAAATAGTTTCAAAAGTTGGTTATTGGAGGTTACGCGGGGAACCTAGATCCTAGAGTACACCGGGTCGGGGAGCAAGGGGACGGGCATCGTTGTGAGGCAGACAGGGCAGAACGGAAAGGGGAGAGCTTGCAAGGCCAGGAATGACCTAACCCTCGTACACCACCACCACCACCACCACCACGTTTCCCTGTGTACCGTTGACATTGAACTTCCAACGTGTCGTCATGAACAGTGCCACAACGACCATGCACCACCACAACCACTTGAATCCCTTCTCCTGCTTCCAGCCCTGACCACTACCACTTACAACTACCACACGCACACGGCACAACCCCCACCCCTCCCCTCGCTCCCTTACCAGCAGACCCAGATGCACTCCGAACTGCCCCAGCAGCGAGCCGAAGAAGTAAGGGTTGAAGATGGTGGGATGCGGCCGCACGGGGCTCATCGTCTCGAGGGGCTTTGCCTGGCTGATGAACAGGAACTGGGCGGCAGAGAGCATACCGCTGACAGTAGCCTAAAAAGGGCCCTCGGGCAATAGGTGGGTTAGGGCAGCAGGGTAGGGAGTGGGAGGGATGGCTTCAAGAGTTGGGGAAAGAGAGCGGAAGAAAGAGCTGTAAGGAACGCAGGACCTGTAGGCCTTTTGAACCATTTAAAGCCCGGAACACGCTGGGGATGCGAGCGGAGTGCTGGAGGTGGAGGGATGACTGGAGCTGGACGGTTGCACAAGTGGTCGCAGCTGCAGGGCTGCCTGGTGGGTTTATGGCACCATCCCCAAAAGCGAGCGTTGACGTTGGGACGTGCAAAGGAACGAACGAAAGCGCCAGTGCACCCCCACGCCCCATCTCGCGCAGCACACAACTTCTCCACCCCAACCTGTCACCGTAACCTCCTAATCATTGGGGTCCGGGGCCCGGGGCGATGGCGCGCTCACTCATCACCCACACAAACAAAACGCAGGATGTACATACAAAAAGCCTAAAGCCTCGGACCACCCTCGCAACCCCATCCCTCCTCCGACTCCCACCTCCAAGAGTATCCGTGTATCTCTGGTATCAACTTCACTCCTCTGTTGTTCTCGTCTTCACCCACTCCAACCCCCAACTCTCACTCCATAAACCCCTGTTACAACCCTCCGAACCATTCCTTGTTGAGCCGTGTCTGGCTTGGGTCAGCGGTTCCATTCCTCCTATTTCCTTAAAGGCCTCTTTTCCGTTCACCCCGCACCAATGTCATGGAAGGAACAGCTCCTGACATGGAAACGATTCAATCCAAATGACACACCCAAACCCACTTCAAGTGACAAAACCCACATCCCAAATGCTCGCACCCCGCACCTGCGTGTCACTCAGCTTGACGCCCTGTAGGTATAGCACACTGAGGCTGTAGGCGGTGGAGAGACACGTAAGGCCCAGGATCTTGAACATCTGAACCGTGGTCACTAGGGTACACCTGCGGGAGGGAAGGAGGCAGGAACAACATGGAGTCGGCGCAAGACAAACCACGAGGGGAGGCTGGCTGAGCAGGTGGATGGTTTGGCACATCCGTGGGGTGGAACCGAGGCAAAGGAAGTACGGGAGAGCAGGGACGTGTCAGAAATGATGCAAGAAAGGGCAGTCCCCTCACGCTGCGGACTACCTCCCACAGAGATGTGCAGGGAGGAAAATGATAAACAATATGACGCTAAACACTCGTTTAGCGCACATATACACGGCAGGCGGCAGCCGCAGCAAATATTGAAGGCCAAAGGCCCGTGCGACGGGTACAGCCGCGGTCCCGATGATTGTACTTGATGATGCGTAATCGCATCTTGGATTTGGTAGGCGTTGGTACGTCGCCAAGGAGGCAACGGCCATCACGATCTTCCGCACATCTCTTCCATCCCTCCTCCCACTCCCTCCTGCCGACCGCTACTTCTGTTCAATGCAGATGGGGAAGGCTACCAAACGTCCCAGGGCTCAGCTGTAATAGGAAAAGTTTCAGCATCAGCAATTTTGATGCCTACGAAAATAGGTAAGACGAGATTTTAGATCTCTGTGTACATCCCCGCCCTGGGACGTCCTGAGCACGGGACCTTTTGAATCTTGTACCGCAACGGGGTGACAACGGCTCTGCGCCCTCCCTTTCCCCCACCCAACATGCCGTGCAAAAGTGCACAGAAACTGCAACTACTATCAAAAATACGGATCTCCAAAGCCGTCAAGCGCGTTTCCAGCCAGTGTCGAAGCGGGAAGCGGCTGTCCTACATGTGTCGCAAGGCGTGGTCAAGCGCACAGGTCACACATAGCATAGTGCTGCACACTGGGGTGGTGATGGTGGTGGTCGTGGAGACACCCGGCTCAGCTAGGTTGATGGTCCGTGTTGTCGTTCATGAGAGGACGTCCTCTATCAGATAAGAGGGGTAGTACTTCACGGATGGTCACATCACGGCCGAGGGCCAGTGTAGCCGCATTCCCTCCATTCCCGCTCCGCCCGCTCCTCCTCGTCCTCCCGCCCAGTCACTGGAAATGATACCTTCTTCCCATAAATCACAGCTGGTAATCCATGCGAGCTGATTGCCATTTCTTTTATATTTTTTCTCCACATTTTTGGGTATTTGTATTAAGGGTGTGCGAACGGTACGAACAGTGCATGAACAGCAACGAAGGTCGTTCCTTCCCCCCCACTGCTTCACCCACCCCACACCCCTTCACGCCCAAAATTCGCACTAGGAACAAGGATGCGATGCGCCGTGCATGTTCGTGTATGTATGTGTGCACCACCTGCACCGCACCTGCCCTGCTTGATAATGTCCGTGCAGGGCAGCACCGAGACGGCCTTTGCAGTGAAGGGCGACGCCATGGAGGCATCCCCCGGCTTGAGCATGGGCATGTCGCCGTCCATGCCGCTCATGGCCGAGTTTTCCATGTTGTCCATCATGCGTGCCATGGCCTCCATGCGTGGCGTGATCGGCTGGTTGGCGGCACGGGCGCGAGCCAGCAACTCCTGGCCGGCGGTGCGCCTGAGGACGAAGACAAACAGGCAAGCAGATGGACAGGACACAGCAGGACAGGCACCTCATTTGTTCTCGTTGTTGTGCTTTAATTAAACAACAGGCACTGCTGCAGAAATGGTTGCAAGCGGGGGCCCCGGCGACAATCAGGCTTGAACCTGCCAAGAAGGCTTACGCATGCCCAATACATGCCCAATACATGCCCAATAAACCAAACCAGCAAACCATCTAAAGGATGCTTGCTGGTAAAACATGCACGCTCTCACGTATCTATAATCTGCAACGCACGTCTCGCACTAATGCGTGCTGCCGCCTGGCCGTCCATCCGCAAACAGGCCCCCGTTCAGATCCACCACACGTACATGAGGACTCCACACACCCCAAACCTCCGGGAAACGCCCCGCTCCGTTTAAGTGTACTCACTTGCCACCCGGGCCGGTACCCGGCGCTGCCTTGCCCCGGGGTCCTCCTGCCCCCGACGCCGTTGTCGCTACCGCCTTGCCATCCTTCTTGTTCGCTGCCTTCTTAGCTGCGGCTCTTTTTGCGGCGGACTCGCTCGCACTCAGCAGCGCAACGCCCACATGGGCCGCCTAAGGGGGGGAGGGAAAGAGGCCGAAGTCAGGAGGTTGTGAAAAAGCTGCGGTTGTAAGGAAACACGGGTAGTTATGCTCCCACCAGAGTTTTGAACAAACCGCGGTGAGCTTAAAAAGAATAAAAGTGAAAAAATGAAAAATGATAGCGCAGGTAAGACCTAGTGTTGATCAGTGCTGTTATGCACCAATGACTCGATCTCAGCGATCTGATGATGAGATGGTGACAGAGAGACTTGGCAATGAAGGCCCAGACTCAGGATCACTGCTTTCAGCATCAGCAATTGATGATGCCTGAAAATAGGTCAAAATTGGATTGAAATTAGGTCAGACGAGGTTTTCACGTCTCAAGGAAATCACCATCGCCCCGGAAGGCTTCCTTGCACGCACTAGTCTCCCTATCCACATTCAAACACCCAACCAGAATTTCCCGCACATCTTTATCGCTCTAGTAGAAGGACCGATAAGTGTCTGGGCTCAGGTCACGTGTTTTCAGCATCAGCAGCGGATGCCTAGGAAAATAGGTAAGACTAGATTTTGAACATTTGTAATCATCGCCCGGAAACTTATCAATAAGCAAAAACACTATTTCAAAAAGACGCGCAGACGCACTCCAGCATTCCTGCGACATGACGCCCCATTACTCAAAAGCTTTGCACATCGAGCGGGGCCCAAACTTTAATTTTCCGCGCCCTTCCTACTCCCAACTTTCTCACTTCACTGCTTAGCTCTTTTGCCTCCCCCTGGCGGGACACACACCCACACACACGTTCAACAAACCCGAGCTATTTACCCGCGGTGACAATGGCCCATAAATCGAGACACACACACACACACGTTATCCATCCACCCACCCACACCTTTATCTCGCAGTTGTGAACTGTACCCGCTTTAAGTAACTTTTTTATATGATGAAGAACTCAGGCATATGTGGTTAACATGTGTGATTGCATATGATTGGCCTGCGCACAAGAGTTGCGAAGAAATTGTTTTGGGGCCCCTATACCTTGAGTCCGCCCACGTCGTTGGTGCCGTCACCGCACATGAGCGTCACAAAGCCTTGTGCTCGCAGCGTGTTGACCACCAGCTCCTTCTGGTCGGGCGACACGCGCGCAAACACCTGGCACAGCGGAATGAGCTGAGACGCCACACCCACGGCGGTCGCGTGCGCCAGGGCGTCGCCCGACACCGCCAAGTCGTACTCGGACGCAACCTTGGAGGGTGCACGTGAGAAAAAGAGGTTCATGGTAAAGAGAGTTTAGGATTGTAGTTAATTGGATACGAGGGAAAGGCAGAAATGGGAGGCAAATAAGCAGCAGGGCAGAGGTCTTACAGCCGCGCGCGATCATTTTGCCAGCGTGAAACAGGCGGTGCTTAAGGACGCTTAAGGGCCACATCGCTGTCAAAATCCGATAGGATCCCCTGTAGCATATCGTCATCCATTCACCCCATTCAGGGGACGCGTCGGAGGTGGAACAGGCCAACACACAGACACCATGGAAAAGACGGACCCGGGGACAGATGATAGCCGGCCACAACACGCAACCCTGCCAAGAATGCCCATCAACGGGCGGCAATCGGTCACAGCTATGCATGGCACTTGTGGGGTCACAACTGACCCCAGACATAAGCACCACCACCACCACCGTCACCACCACCCTGCCCTCCTTGACGCTACGCTTTTGCGACAACAACGCCATGGCCAGCCCAGCCTTTGCGAGGCGTCAGGCCCCCTAGGCACCGCTGTGACCAGACACAAAGCCGAGTTCCGGGATGGCGGCCTCTTCGCTACACCCAAGACAACGACACAGCGCAATTCGGATGCCACACACGGTGTCGCAGCACAGACAAGAGGTCCCCTTTTGATTCACAGAATCACCGTCCCTTCACACCGTCAGCCAACCCCATCCCTGGCTTACTTCCCCCTCGGCCCGCGCCACGATACACACTTACCCGCAGCATGTCGTCCCAGTCACGGCTGAACGGCAGCCGTACGGACTCATCCGGGGAGGACCAGCAGAAGGCGCTGTCGTCCTCCGTGCCCGCCTGTGTGTTGGAATGAGGGACACATAGGTCGCGCCGATCGCTCAGGTCGCCTTCCTCAATGTATGTTCACCGCCATGATCATGTTATTGATGATTTCAACAGAGAAGCTGATCATAATAATAATTGCCCTCTCACAACACCTGATCCTCAGTAACCACACCACACAATACAGAGAAGCAAGCTAAAAAAAGCCTTGGCAGTTACAATGGGCAGTTACAATGGGCAGTTACAATGTCGTGGCTGACTCGGGAGTAACGGGAGGGTCCCCCCAGCTGATCAAACGTCAAGAGTCAGGCGGTCTGCTCCGCCGGCATCGCGGGCGCACACACGCAAGCTCGGCCGCGCTCCTCTCTGGACCCCCGGCAGGGGTTGAGTAAACGACTCCCCCAGCCCCAGCCCCTCTCTCAAACACCCACCTCCTTGGCACCCTGAGTGTCCCCGCCCGCGTGCCCCTTGTCCTCCTCCACGTGGCCCAGCACCAGCACCGGGCGAGTCACGATGTGCACCCGCGACGCCGCGTAGCAGGCCGTGAGCGGCGCATCGCCCGTGATCATGACCAGCTGGTGCGAGGAGGCGGCCAGGGCGGCCAGGGCGGGCTCGCTTTCCGGTTTGAGAGGGCATTGGAAGATGGCGAAGCCTGCGGATACGAGGAGATGCCGGAGGGACGGATGAGAGGTGAAGGACTGAAATACCGCGGAAACAGGCGTAGAGCCTAGGGGTTACTAGGGAGGTGGAAAGGAGCAGAGGAGGAGGAAGGGGATAACATGCGAGGAGGAAGAGAAGCAGATGAGAAGCTTGGGGCTATTAGGTGAAGCTGTCCGGCTCTGACGGGGAATTGGGCGAGATGGTGTGAGAATGCTGTAATAATAGCGGCAGTAGAGGAGTGAGGAGGAGGAGGAGGATGTAACACTGGCGGAGCGTTCCGGGGAACACTCTGCAAGCGCACGCAAACCGCTGCAGAGAGGCAACCACGGACCGCTGCAGGAGAGGAGCAACAGAGCGGTATGCGACACCCAACAATGGCAGGGGCTGAGGGCTGAGGTCACAACTGAATCATAAAGGCGCCTGGGCTCAGGGATATCGCTTTCAGCACTGGCAAAGAATGCCATGTGAAAATAGGTAAGACGAGAATTTCAACTCGTAGTCCATCACTGCCCGCGCAGCATGAGCAAACCAAACATATGTAGATCCCTCATATATAATCCCTGATTCCCTGACCGACTGACCGACCGCCTCCGCGGGTTGCCATCCGCCATATCAGTCAGCCATACTCATTATTCGTGCAACAAAGCCCACCTACCCAGCAGCCTGGTACCTACCCACGAAATTCAACTTCGACTCGACAGCCTCCCGGGGCATAGACCGCAGCGTTGCCGCGTCCAGATCCTGCAGGATGGTTTCCAATCAGACCGGATGCATCCGTTAAGGAACATGCATGATAAGGGTGGTTGTGGTGAAGCCGCTGCATAAATGCGATCCTTATACAGCGCAAGGTAACGCAAGACAAAATGCCATTGACAGAACACCATTTGGATGAGCAGAGGACAGGAGTTGCTACCCACAGCAGAGATGGGCCGAGGTGAGCCGACAATGAGGGACACGGCGTGGAATGGGACTCACCGCCGGAAGGGCCTTATGCGCCAGGGCAATTACACGGGCCCCCTCCGCGGCATAACGTTTGTACTGGCTGTCGTAGTCAGGAGGTACGGAGGCTGCGGGGCACGGCGGACGGCATGGGGGGAGTTAGGGCCGCTGACCTAATGCAGTTCCCCAAAATCATCATCCCCTTATTGAGCAGTAGCAGCAAAGTACAATCACCTAAAATCCTCTTTACCATTACCGAAAACCTAAACAAACTCTAAACGGAATGTAAACGGAATAGGGTAGCGATTAGCCAATGTGCACCACGAAGCTCAACTCAAAACACCCCTCACCCACCTCTTACTGAGCTCCCCCAGGTACCCACCCACCTAACAACCCCTTGAGCACCTCCGGAGCTCCCTTAGCGACCACCACGTGCTGCGGTCCGGAAGCACCACCGCCACTGGCAGTGGCGGATTGCGCCGCCGCTGTTGCGCCGCCGTACGAGTACGGCGAGGAACCGCTAAGACCCGGCGTATCATCTTCGACACGCAGCATGGCGGACATGCGCTTGAGATGGGAGGAGAAGTGGAAGCGGTGGAGCAGGGTCGCACGTACAAGTTTCTCGGGGCTGAGGGAGACGTCAGCACCGCCGTTGCTGCCCACGAAGGTCCAGCCCACGGACTGCGGAAGCGAGGTGGGTAATGATGCGGGGTGGGTGAGATCAAAAGTCATCATAAAAACACATGTTTTGCGTAATTTGCCTGCTGAGTCTTGCCGTCGGCAAAATTTTACGTGGAGTAATATTTTAATTGTGGCTCTTTATAGAACCTGCATAATTCTGAGAAAGTTTCATTTTTAACGTTGGATCATAAGGGGTCTGTCAAAACCAGAAACGGGAGCGAGCATTAACAAAAGTCATTCCCCATGCCAGTAAATATGGATGGCTAACTGTCACGAAAAGCACAAGAAGTTTGAGGGAAGCCATGCCACAAATTACGAACAGCATTGCAGCACGCTCATCTCGCCTACAGCTTACATAACACACTGTAAGCTTGGCGAACCCCGAGCTTTGCGCGAACCCTGCACCCCTAGCCGAGACTCTTATTCCTGTGCAGCCCCACGTCCAGCAAACCACCGGCTGCTGCCTCCCTCCCAACCCCCAAGAGGGCAGGTCCAGGTGCCGCGTACCTCCAGGGCCGCCTTTTCAAGCGGATCTCCCACCACCTCCGTTGCCACCGAACTCCCTCCTCCCGCAGAACCCCCGCTCTCCCCCGTCGCCACCTGCACCAAGCTGTGGCAGGCTGCCAGCACCAGCGTAGCGCGCGGACCAAAGCGCCTGCACAGAAGAAAAAACCCGAAAAAGAAACACTCAGGTCAATTAACGTCCGAACACGCCACAGTCCGATGACGATGATGCTGATACAGTATTTCCGTCCATGGGCCCCCATGGGCTCTACAGACGCGGCTCCCATCCCCCCGTTTGTGACCGGAACTTGTAACTCGTAACTTTTACGTTGGACCTAACCCACATGTGCGGGCGTGGGCAATCATATCTGCGACGAGGGTCAAGACCGAGACACCCTAGGATCCCTACTCAGCAGAAACCTTCCTGCGCGCAATATTGGGCCAAGCCAAGCCAAGCCAAGCTAAGCTAAGCTAAATCTTAACAAAACCAGTCCAGAAAGAGCGTGCACCTGGGCTTAAAGCGGGAATTGTGGGGAAAACGTATGCGAGAAAGTGGGAAGTGAACTGCTGCCGGTGGTGTCCAAGGTGGGTGGACACAGGACCAGGCGGAGGAAACCAAATGCGTCGGCTACCTGGGGTCTTTGACTAGGGCTGGGTCCGCCAGCTCGTCCTCGTCGGGCCCCTTGTTGGCCCCTGCCTCGCCGTCGGGGACCAGCTCCTCAGGCGCCTCCCTGGCAGGACAGACGAGGACATGAGACCAAGACGGCGGCGCGGTGCAGTGGTTTGAAAAGATAAGAGTCAGGGTCGTAGGCGGGAGGCTAGAGGGAAGAGAGACACGCAGGGGAAGGGGCGCCCCGGAAAGAGACACTTTATCGACCAAGTAAAGACGCGACGATATGACGTGGAACAACGAACACGGCCACATAGCACGGCACATATATATATATATTATATTATATATAACCAAAACCATCGTAGTGAAAATTAATTTTCCACGTCGTCCTTCAACTTCTTCCCACCGCTTCCCACCTGAACGTGACGCGGCGCTCCCTGTCCTTGCCCTTGCCGGCCCCGCGGGATCCCCCCTCACTGCCGCCGCCCTCCCTGGCAGGGGAACTGCCGGGCGGCGGCGGCGGTCGCGGCTCGGGATCCCCTACCAGGCCCTCCAGTAGCAGGTGGTCGCTGGTGAGAGTGCCCGTCTTGTCAAAGCAGCACACCTCCACCTATCATGCACACACAGATGTACCCCCCACACGCACACACATCAGGGTCACGTGGCCATCACGAACCAGGGTCGTCTACGCGTACAGCTATCTATATTCATTCTCAGCTGAGAAACATACGCATGCATACACAAGGGGACAGCGGTTTGGTGTCTCTCCGTGTGCGGGTGAGAATGGATCATCAGTTTCGGATAGAATGGGAAAACATGATACACACACACTGACCAGAGCGGCCTCGTGGCAGGACACTGAACGCAAGCAGTCAAAGCTACGCCAAAGCCAGCCCGGGACAGCCGTTGTTCCACTTCATTACACCATATACTCTGTCGCGTCCCCCTCACCTTGCCCGCAAAGGGGATGCGGAAGGGCTCCGTGCAAAAGACTTTCTTCCTGGCCAGGGCAAGCAGCGATGCGTTTACCGCCAGGGACAGCTCCATGGGCAGCTCAGGCGGGATGACGGAGGTGACGATCATAATGCAGTTCAGAATGAGCTTGAAGCGACTGCGGGTTGGATCCTGCAGGGAGCCAGCAAAGCGGAGGTCAAGCAAGCAGGGCGCCAAGACGCAAAACCGTAAGGCGAACTGATAGGGATTTACGAGCGGAATTGCCGAATAGGGAGAAGGCGTTGATGAGCAAATGTGTGTGTGTTACACCTCGGTTTCCCAACCCAGAGACATATGAGCCAGAGACCCGTCGAAGGAGGAAGGATGTAGGTTCGGGGATTTCTGACGCGCCTTTCCATTGGCGTTGTAGTAAAATAAAGGATTCAGACCATGCCCAGAGGCAAGCTATCCCTGGCTGCAATATTTGCAGCGCACCATCCTCCTCTGTCCACCGGTCTAAAGGACAGCTTTTTCAGCGCCATGCAGAGGGAAAAAAACTTGGTGGTCAGGTACTTGTGTCACTACTGCCATTCCTTGGATGACGGCTGTTGTTGACATTGCTGTTACTATCTGCAACAACACGTGCTGCCACTGCCGCTCGTGCCCCCCGATTCTCGCGTCCCCATCTGAGCCCTGGCGGCTATTACCAATAGTGCAAATACCCGGCCCGCGCACCTGCAGTCCGTTGACGAGCACATAGTAGGCGGCTGACAATGCAAAGAGCAGCAGGAACGCAATGAAGAGACCGGCCTCTGCGTTGTTGGCTGTCACGCGCTCTGTGGAGAAGAGGATGGTGCGCATCAGGCGGCCTTGCGCGGTCTCAAAGCCGGTGCGCAGAACCACAGCCAGGCAGCCGCCGTCAGGTGTGCTGCGGAACGGAACGGAACACAACCGAGAGGGAGCAGAGGGAAAAAAAGAGAGCCGGGTTAGGGCTGTGGCTTGGGTCTGAAGGGGAAACGGCTCCATCAGGGAAGAAACGACCCCTTCCAGACCTATTTTCCGTAATTCTGAAGTATGGTGCGCTCTGTTTGGAGCGTCTCCATACACATGTATGTGCCTTCACGTAAGAAATGTATTGCGTTCTTCCTTGTCCGTCTGCAAGCTGGAAGCCGTATGATTCAATACCATTTCCTAAGCACACGAGATGATGCAAAGCACACGGATTCAAACGCGACCAGCACCAGCACCTGTACCAGCACACACACACACACACACACACACACACACACACACACACACACACACACACAACCAGAGTATTAAACACCACGTAGGGCACCACGCACAGAGCTTCATTTGACCCTAGCGGACGCACAGTCTTACCGAATGCGCGCATTCTTGTCGCCGGTGTGCTGCAGGATCTTGGTGCCTCCAAACAGGATGTGATGCTTGTGTTGCTTGGATGACAACCGCTGCTTTGCAGTGGACTCGCTCAACAGCTGGTCGCCAATGTTGGACTTCCACTGCGGTGTGGACTCGCCCGTCAGCACCGCCTCCTCCGCGATGCAGCTACCAGCCACCAGCAAACAGTCCGCGGGAACCACCTTGTCGCCGCCGGCAGAGGTCGTGTCTACGCAACGCGTGTCGCGGGAAAGTTGTGTGTGGGGGGGGGGGGCCAGCCGCCGCACAGTTTCGCGAATGCAGAACAGCATTTTACGCTGGTGGTTTCAGGTGCAGGTTGGCCAGCAGTACAGGTTTGTGTGTTATCTTTTTTGACTCAGTGAGCGCGCACTTGGGCTTCCAACAGGATGTTAAAAAACATTACGTTACGTTAAAAACTACGCGCTTCTCGATCGGGAGGGAAGTTTTAGAGACTCTACGACAGTTCTCCTGGGCCGGATCTTTCCTAGACGCGCTCAATTAGCCGGCATGGATATACACAGACCCATTCCCCCCCTGGCGCTGCATCTGCTGCTGCTGTGTGGTCATTTGCCGGGTGGGGTGGTGGCCGGCCAGCATCAGCTTATCCGCGCGCACGGGCAGGAGGAGCAGGAGGAGCACAGAACGTTGAGTGCGGGGCGCGAAGTGGGGTCCACCAGCACGGTGCAGCGAAGCGCAGTACCTGGGGACATGAGTACCGGTACCCCCCTCCGCGCGGACGTCCGCGCACCTGAGAGAGGCCTGCCAATGGAGATGACGTCTCCAGGCAGCAGCGCATCGCCCGGCATCTGCTCCCATTTGCCGCACCTGTGGCGGCGGCAAGAAATATACAAGAGAGGGACGGACAGGATAGGGCACACAAGGCTGACAGGCTACTAAGATAAAAACGTCCACAAGCCCAAGGTAATCGCGCGGAGGAGGACTTCTTTTGAACTCAAAAGGAAGAAATTTCAAGAGAAGGGAAAGCGCAGCCAACCAGCCCACGCAGCCGACGCACGCAGAAGTTCGTCGGGGAAGGAGCTCCGGTTAACCACAAAACGTCCCCTTTCAGGGCGCATACTTCGTCGTCAGATAAAATACCGTGGTGGCTGTACCTCCCCCGAACTTTCAACCTGTAAAATACATCACACAAACCATCTGCGGTCCTAAGCTAGCTATCCTCGACGGGGGCGTCTACCCCCTCTGCTTGTATCCCCGTACCCTGGGTTTGTGGCGCCGACTAGAACACGGTACCTTCCGTCGTCTACCATTTCCCCCCCCCCAACAACAACAACCCCTGCCCACGTGGCCCCCTCAAACCGACCTATATACGTAAATGTTTTGCTTGGGGGTCTGCAGCGATCTGAGCTCCTTGAGGTTCCGGAGCCGCTGACCCACCACCGTGCTCTCGAATGTGACCAGCATGAACAGCGTGAAGAGCGAGTAATAAAAGTACTCGTCCAGCATCCACAGCATCACGCAAAACACCTGGCGGATATATATAGGTTGTAGGACACCAGAAGTGGATTTAGTGGACTAGGTGGGCCCATACATACATACATACATACATACATACATACATACATACGCACGACGTGGTAGGCGTCAGAGGAAAAGAGGAAATAAAATTACATTGTGAATTGTGCAAAATTTGAGAAGAAACAACTGCCCATGTCCGTGCCTGGCGAGAAGGGAGTGGAGGCGGATTTGGCACGAGTATTCCATGCGACACGGGGACCGACGAGACAGCCCCTTCTGGTATTCGTTGTGAACTACCCCATCCCCCCGGCGTTCAGAGGCACACTGAGTTGCCCCAAGGGATTTCCCGAGGTTCACCTCCTGCAAGGACGTGCACCCATACTGGCATGGCAGCAAGTACTTGCGTGGATTCATCTACTTCTCAATCCTGTCGCACACACATTCGCCCAATGCGCCCGCCCTTCCTCCTCGTGGCTCTTAACAAGGAGTCTCTTAACAACACCCATTGCGTTCCGCAACCCACCAGCCCATGACCGCATGCTGGTCAAAAACCCGAAACGTGCTTTTCCGGAACCCCAAAGAAAGAGCAGAATACGCCTTACTAGATGCCTGTCGGAAAACCACGCCATGTCGGAAGGAAGTGAAAAGAACCGAGGGAAAGGTACTGCTTGCCGCCCCGTAATTCGTTTTTTACCAACCCCGGACGACATTCGATCATGCCGTAGTCACGCAGGGCCCTGCCAATCAGCCACAGCCCCCCCCAACCGCTCTAGAAGCAACACGCACCTGGAACACGAAAAACGGCGCCACCAGGTGCTCCTTCATTAGTGCTGAGAAGGCGGGTAGCGGCACATCCACCCGGTTGAGGCCGTACCTGAGAAGACGGAAGCACGAGGCAGCAGCGGGGGAAGCAACCCCGAGGGCTGATGTGATGGGGGGTGGATGGGCATCAGCAGTAGGGGATTCATATGCAGAAGTCGAAGGCGTCGGTGGGGAGAGAGGCAAAACTTTGCAGCGCCGGTTCACAAATAATCAATACGAGTTGTAGCTGCTGCATAACGATGAAAAGCTAAAAGGCTGCAGCAGCGCTTCGACTGCGGCTGCAGCGGCCCTTGGTTGGCTGTGGAGAGGCTGTGAACGAATCATCCCTGATCTGTTGTGCAAAGACTCGCGGGTCACGACTCAGGGTAGCGCCGGGTATGCGCTTCGGTTCCTGTTGTCGCAACAACAGACATGGCGACACAGGCCCCCCACGCCATGACCAGGTACATAAACTTTTTGCTCCACCACTCTCCACCAACACAATAGACTCTCACCGGTCAAACGCTGCCAGCTGCTTCGCCTCGGTGCCGTGCCCGCTGGCCTTGCCGTACGTCTCAAACGTCTCCTACGGAAATAGAGACACGGTTGAACGGGGTGATAGGCGATATGCCACTACGGAGCGATATGCCACTACGGAGGGTAATAGCAGGGGGCATCGGGAGCACCGCATGAGTCAAACATCTGCATGTGGACGACGCAGCTCAAGGACTGCCCCCGGCGCCAACCACAAGACTGCATCAGGAAGCGCTGAAGTACCCAAGCAGATGCACACAGTCAACAACCCTCTCGCCATAGCCGGCCGTCCAGATGGGGCCCCGACCCTTGCGCCTTGCACGCGTGTGTGTGATCTGAGCTTCCAACCCTGGATTTTCCGGTCTTATCTCTCTCTCTCACTGGCCCTACCTTATCCGGAAAGCGCAGCTTTTCAAAAGCGTGTGCTGCGGGGTTGTACACGAAGCGCTGGCGCCGGAAGTCGAAGCTGAGCTCCTCCACCTCCATCAGCCCTTCTTTCTGCATGGAGCGGAGCAAAATCCAAATCCGGGGGCCTTACATGCGAATCCAATTCTTGACGAAGAAACGAATATTGTCGACCAAAGCGACAGGGAAAGCGACAGGCAAAAAGGAAGCCGGTGCCATGTGCGCAGAACGAGGCGTGTGTATGCGTATGGGGGAGGGTTGCAGGTTGCGCGGATAAGGTGCTAACGAGGCATCCCGTGGAAAACCGGCGATTTCCATATCATCGCCGATGTTGCCCCATTCGCCCCTGGCTCCGTACAAGCCCCCACGTTCCCATCAGCCCCTATCCGCGTCGTGCCAGTACCTCATCTCACATGCTCTTCCTTGCCATCACCCCCACTGATGTGGCAGGTGTGAGAATCCTTGGCAGTTCATTATATAAGCTTCCCATAATGGGCTTAAGGAATATCGTAGACCGTCTAGTCGCAACCTTGGCACCCCGAGGGGCTATGGGTGAGGGCGCGTGCTATTCCCGTAACGCCATAAGCAACAGCAAGTAGGAGAGGTAGGGGCATGTCCTTCCCAGCAGACCCCGAATAAGTCGCTCAAACGAAGATGCTTCGGGAAACGCCATAGGCTTTTAAGAGTGCAGCTTGCGCGCGGGACCGGCCATCCGGCAAACCTAGTTTGCTATTCTGCCACCTTGCTAGCCCCCCGAGCGTACAACAATCGGCGGTGTTGCCCCCAGGTGTTGGCCCCTCAAGCAGCCAGGTGTTGTCAACAATCCAAACTGTTACAGCCGTTTTCCGGGGGACACCGTCTCAGTAGCTTCAAGGGGAGGCCCCCTCTCAGTAGCTTTCCCCAAAATTTAGCATTTGGCCATCGTCCTCCGTACCTACCACATATTTGCGGTCGAGCGGCACCAGTTCCGTGCTCCCATTGAACCGGACTGGCACCACAAGGACGACCTCGGCGTCATCGATGTCGGAGACATTGCTCGTTGACACGAATGCACGAAATCGGATGCTCCAGTGTGTGAACAAATGTGCTAGAATGTTCAATAGGGCCGCAACCCCCAGACCATAGCAATGGTATGTGAACAGCTCCCTGTAGGTTGCCGCAAGTTGCGTTTTGATCGACATGGATATCCCCTCTCGCAAATAAAACAAATAACCTGCATCACATGAACTTACCACTCAAAGCGGGTCGCATGGTAGCCCGTTTTGAGCAAGATCAGGACGTATAGGGCCAAAAAAGGGGCTATATCTAGTCTTTTAAGGCCTATGATACGCTTCCGAAGGACTACTTTTTCAAGCCCCTTCGCCAGGACTGCCGGTCGCCCTGGCGGGCCTTTGCCAGCCGCCAGGGCCATATCCGACATCCGGCGCAGTTGGTGGTATATCCACTATGCAACCGTCTTTCCAACCTAAAGTTCCCACGGCTCGATGGAAGGCCTGTTAAGCTGTTGTCGCAGCTACAAGCGATTCGTAGGTCAGTATGTTGTAATTACAGCTGTCAAACATCAGGGTCCTCAAAGTCGATTATAAAAGTCGGACGGAAGGCGCACGTAGTATTTCACCGAGGAATGTCCTTCTACGGGAAAACGGCATTGGCATTCAAAGCCGTTGACAGCCGTACAAACTGTGCCAGGTGTCCTTGCGCAGGTGAGCGCGGTGGAATAAGAACAAGTGGTGACATTGTAAGTTCGCGTAGGCCTAATGCTCTGTCATGGCTCGGATTAATAAGACAGCTGACATTGGGAAATTAGGAGGCCCAAGCCACGTTTGCACCGCCCTTAAAATGATTGCCTCACATGCGTCAAGCTACTGTATATGGGCAGATACATCTGCAGATCGACACACCATTTCCTTCGGGCAGGGGGTGGAGCAGCCTCATCAGTGCTTCACGGTGCTTCGGTCCTTGGGTCGTCAGGTTAGGTCAGGACTGCTCACGCTCTGGCGAAAATTCAATCGCGTACTGATTGTTCTTTTTCGGCCTCAAATTACTGTACAGGATCATCTTACATCTTGTTTCAAGGCGGTTACAGTGCCGCCTGGGAAAAGTTCCATCTCCGGCACGCTGCTGCCACACCATCGAAACGGTAGTGGCGTTCTAAATATGTGGCTCTGCGCCTCTGCTGCAAATGGTAGTAGGTAGATCTGCGCATCTTTACCTGGCACGCAGCACTCGTTGTTCAAAACTCCAGTACAGGTCCCGCACATGCGCTGCTAGTATGTAGTCCACACGGATTGAAATTAGTCAAGACAGAGTAAAAAAATAGTCCACGCGGATTTACAAGTAATAACACATTTAAAGCAAAGTGTACGGGGGTTTCGTCCCTGTTGGGAGTAACTCTAAACTGCTTTCACGCCGGTGCAGAGGCCTGTATGTAAAACGGGATGAACGAGGCCACATACAGTTAGTTTTCGGCCACGGACGGTGATCAAGAACCACATCACTCCCTGGTCACGTACACTCCCCCCGCAGGGGGGCCTTTCCCCCAATGCCCCACAATCGCCAGCAGCTACAATAACTGAAACTATCCAATTAGAAAGCACTCAAAACTTCTCATTTCTGCAGTAAATTCATGCGGGCATTGCAACGACTAGCCTTCGAATCGCGCCATTTCTGTCCATACCCCCCCCCCCAGCTTCTGAGCAGGGCCCCAGCGCAAACCTCGCTCAGCAATTTATATGTGTTTGGTGGGTTGGTTCGTTGGTTTTTACGTTCTGCATTTTTAATTGAGTTCATGAATTTCGACAGGCCTCAAAGGGTGCGGCGGCCCAGCAGGGCCCCGCCGAGTGCCCCCATCGCGTTCAGCGTATCCGCAGCGCCGTACAGAAGCTTCGCCTTGCCACTCCTTGGGTATTCTCCGAAGCCCAGCGCGCCCACCTTGTTTAGGTCCTTGTTGACGTTGGGGTTCTACACGCCACGACGCGCCACGCCACGACAGGTCAATACGCGCGACATGTTTTGCCGTATGGTGCAAGATGTGGTAGGAGAGCGGTAGGAGGTCAGGCAGCGGGTACGAACAGACGGTTATCATCATGCATAAGGAATGCGCAATTAGACGCAAGCGGCAATTAGCTACAGAATGTTTGGCGGTGTCCAGCGGACCTCCTAGGTGTTGTAGGAGTCGAACAACAGCAGGATGCACTTCCTCGACTTGTGTACAGTAAAAATCCTTCAGGCTGTTACTAAGTGCCTAATTTTGGCGATGAAAAGTTTAGCAGTCGCTATTGGTCGCCAGAAGCACCGTCCTTCTCCGTCCCCCCAGGTACACCTAAACCCGTGCCCCATGTCTATCCGTGTGGCCAACAGTCACCCGAAGCCGTCCTCTGGCGTGAGGTTGGATGTTTTACCAAAATGGAAAAAGGGAAGGCAGGCTATGAAGGTAACAGGCTGGCACTCGCCCCGGCTCGCACTTGCCCCGCCACAAGAGCTTCCGGCCGCCAAAACACTTCTCTGCCCGAATGCGCCACCCGGCTAAGCTCACCTTTATCGTTATGGGGTTGGAGATGGATATGGGATTCGAACTGACGACGTTGATGCCGCCAGAACCGACGACCGTGGGCGTAGGTGTGACAACCACAGGCGCTGCAGCAGCAACCGGGGCTGCTACAGCGGCAATCGGTGCCGCAGCAGCAGCCGGTGCTACAGTGGTAACCGGTGCTACAGCTACGGGTGTGGCGGCTGTAGTGACAGGAAGCATCTGTACGGCAGCAGCCGCAAGCATTGCCTTTGTTTTGTAGAGTTGTTCAAGACCGGGTTGCGTCGCCAGCACGGTCCCCATGGTGGTGGTGGTGGGTGCAACGGCCGCTGTGGTGGCGGGTGCTATGGTCGCTGTGGTGATGGGTGAAATGTAATTTGGCCCAGTGGCAGTAGTATAGTAACCAGTATCCACAACTGTGGGTGTAATGTAGCTGGGCGCAGTGGTGACTGGTGTAACATAGCTGGGAACGGTAGTGGCGGTGTAGTAGCCATTATCCACAGCCGTGGGTACAACATAGCCGGGGCCAGGGCCAGTAGTGCTGGTGGTGGTGGGTGCAATGTAGCCTGGGCCGGGGCCAGTAGTGGTGGCGGTGTAGTAGCCGGTATCCACAGCCGTGGGTACAACATAGCCGGGGCCAGGGCCAGTAGTGGTGGTGGTGGTGGGTGCAATGTAGCCTGGGCCAGGGCCAGTAGTGGTGGCGGTGTAGTAGCCGGTATCCATGGACGTGGGTACAACATAGCCGGGGCCAGGGCCAGTAGTGGTGGTGGTGGTGGGTGCAATGTAGCCTGGGCCAGAACCAGTAGTGGTGGCGGTATAGTAGCCATTATCCACAGCCGTGGGTACAACATACCCGGGGCCAGGGCCAGTAGTGGTGGTGGTGGTGGGTGCAATGTAGCCAGGGCCAGTAGTGGTGGCGGTGTAGTAGCCGGTATCCATGGACGTGGGTACGACATAGCCGGGGCCGGTGGTGGTGGTTGGTACGATGTAACCGGGTCCCGAGCCAGTAGTTGGTGTGACGTACCCGGCCCCCGAGCCAGTGGTTGGTACGATGTAACCGGGCCCCGAGCTGGCGGTTGGTACGATGTAACCGGCTCCCGAGTTGGCGGTTGGTACGATGTAACCGGGGCCCGAGCCAGTAGTTGGTCCGATGTAACCGGCTCCAGAGCCAGTGGTTGGTACAATATAACCGGCTCCCGAACCGGAAGTTGGTACGATGTAATCGGCCCCCGAGCTGGTGGTTGGTACGATGTAATCGGGGCCTGATCCTGTGGTTGAGGTGGTGATGATAGCCGGGTAGCTGTCGGCTGTGGCCTGGTGCGGGCATGTGGATGTGTCGGGCAGCGGCATTGCATGATGCTCATGCACCGGGGTTCTTTTGTTATGTACCAGCATTACCCATTACTTCATAATTCCCACTATACCCTTCGCACGATAATTTAGGGCAGAGTACATAGCCTTTATCTATTCCGGCGCTTGACTTGTCCATGAGCACAACTTCACCCGTGGCAATCTGAAAGGCCGCATGTTCCAACCAGGGTTTTGGGCCTTTTAAACTCACATGGTAATGTTCAAAGGTGCTGCAGGTCCTGATAAAACTGCTGGAGATGCGAATAAGTTGATTCATCCAGAGCTTCTGCTCGTTTGCACTCATTATGCAAACACTACTCGACCAATGTGTCAACGATACAAGTGGGAGAATGATCCGTCGTACACTCAGATTCGATGAGGGACGCTCCGTTTCGCCCCCAATGAACAAGGGGCCCTACTTACAGTGCTGGTGGGCAGGGCCGCAAAGATGTTACGGCAACCGTCGGCGCAGTCGGTCATGGGAATTTCCAGCGGCGGCGTCGGGTTCACGGTGGTTGTGGCTGTGTAGTATCTGAGGGCGGGAGCACCCACCGGGGTCAGGCGCGTCGAGGCTAGTAGAGCCGCAGCGAGCAAAAAGATTTGTCGCTAAAATTGGTCTGATGAAAGAAGATTTTCAGGAAAGGCACAATGAAATAGGGATACAAGTGTTAAAGCCCCGTTTCCTAAACTAGCAACCCGTCCGTTATTTGGTTTCTGGTTGTTGGTTCCAGGAATTCAAACATTTGCGGCCCAACGGCAGCCATACGCCGCACAGGGCACAACCCTGAACAAAACCTTCCGCGTTTGAGTAGAACATGAAACAAAAAAACATCCTTGATACAAAATTGTTCCACGTAAACCGAACAGCTTCCTTGATTGATCTTTCGCAGCATGACCATTCCACCTTTGCATCTGCCCTTCACGACTTGACCCGTTACGGACCTGCGATGACTTACTGCGTCAGCTGCCTCGTAGCTCTTACGGAGGGAACCAGCCATAAGCCGCTGAGCGTCAGAAAGACTAGCGTAACCCACAAATGCTGTTGGCACCGAACTGTAGGCAAGACGCGGCGCGGCGCGCGGGGAACAGCTGGGGCCGGTGTGGCGGCAGCGAATGCCATGGGGCGGTGCTGCGTCTATGCGCTTTTCGCGGGATGGCAAAGGAGACACCGATCCCTGGCACAGCAGCGCTTCCGCGAATGGCACGCCAGGCGAAAGGTGATATATGGTAGCTTCTGACGAGGAAGGCGGCAACGCTGCGAGCCAAAGGCTGTGCAAAAGAGAGGAAGAATATTTAGACGTGACCAAAATACGGTAATACTAGACAGTGGAAAGGTAATCTGGTTTTCTTGGTATGCCGGGCGAAGCATTCAAAATGGCGAGCCAGCCGCGAAGCGTTTGACTTTTTCGGCCCAGACTGCATCTGGAATGAGCCTCCCCATTAAGGAAGCCACCGTGCAGGTAAACCAATAAACATTTATGACTAGGAAGTTGTCAGTATGCCTTCCCCTTTAATTAGAAGGACAGCTTTCAAGCTCAAAGGAAGCAGACCGGCAAAGCGCAATCCTTAGCTTGGCCGCGATGAAATGCGAGCGCAAAAAATGAAAAAGTGTAATGCCGCCCACCCCGAAAGGCGTCCATCACTATCATCGGCAACCAGCAACTTGATCCGGTTCGCGTCACAGCTAATATCCGCCCAGCCTAAGCTGTTCTCCGTTTCTAACCACCGTGAGGCAAAAACTTTGCAGCAGTGGAAACGATTCGCACTGGCGACCCTGGCCAATACAACCGGGAGAACAACAAACAGCCACGAACAGATCTTCCTCATCCGCCCAGACCATACAGCGGTATCGCGTATCGCGAAACGCCTTCCCCTTTGCCAACGCAACCACACATCCTCATCTATCTCCATCACTCCCAGCCAAATAGCGCAAAACTCCTCCACACATAAATACGGCTGCGCACAGGCACAAGAGCACACACAGACGAGCGCGTTACAGCTGCTAGTCCTGCCCACAAGTAACAGTTGGAGTCGCGGCTCGTCCGCGCCCCCGCGCAACCGCGCCATGCGGGCGCGGGGCCGCCTGCTGGCGCTGCGCCATCCGTACTCCTCACCGCCGCTGCCGCTGTCGACTGCGCAGGACCTGGCCTCTGGCCCCCTCTGCCGACCGCATCGCCGCCCACACACACCCAACCCGGTCCGCCTTCCGTCGCCTCACGAACTGCAGTAGCCTGAGGCACCAGTAAAAACAACACGCACCGCCTCCTTCACGCCGCACCTGCCCCACTAGCGACAACCGTACGTGACCGCTACGGCGAAAACCAGCAGCGGCAGCGCCACTGCCGCAGCCGCCACAGCCATCACTGCCAGCACCTGGACCAGCATCGCCAAAACCGCCAAAACTCCTTTCACCGCGAGCAGCAGCAGCAGCAGCAGCCGCCACGCCGCCGCCGCCGTCACAGCCAGGCATCAATCGGCAGGGAGGAGGCGGAGGAGCCCTGAAAGGGAGGCGGCGGACAAAGAGCCCCCGGCTGCGGGCCACAGGGCGTCATCATGGGGCTGGGCGGACTGCCGCCATGTCGGGGGGCAGCGGGGCCGGCGCCGGCTACTAGAGCGCCTGCCGCTGCCGCTGCCGCTGCCGCTACCGCTACCGCTGCTGCTGCTGGTACTGCTGTTGCTACATTCGGGGTTGCTCGCGGCGGCGGAGGTGCCGACGCCGCAGGCAGCAGCCGCGACTGCAAAACATTTGCGCGGCGGCGTCGAAGCGATCTTACGGCCGGCCAGGAAAGTCGTACAACAAGAACCGCCTACGGACTTCCAGACGGGTCCGGGCCGCAAGATGGCAGCGGCGGCGGCGGCGGCGGCTGTAGCGAACCGTAGGTCAGCTGCCGCCGCCGCCTGGGCCGTGTTCGCCGCCGCCTCATCGTCCTCATCTCACATCCCACAGGGTCGGCGTCACCAGCGGACCCTGCTGGGCGCAGCCACCTCCTCCGCTGCGCCTACTGGCATCGCTGGTACGAACGGCGCTGCTGCCGCCGCCGCTGCCGGCGGTAGCCCCGTTACCCTCCACTCCGCCCCCGTCCCCGTCCCCACAGCCACACGAGCTGTTGCGGACACCTGGGCTCGGAACGGTGGCGACATCGGTAGCCCCAAGGGCTATGGCGGCGGCGGTGGCGGCGGCGAGAACGGGGTCGTCGTCGTCGGCGGCGGCGCTGTTGAATTGCCGCCAAACATGGGGTTTCCCACTACTGCGTCGGCCGCTGCAACGGCAGACTTTAGCGACGGTGGCGCCGCCGACCCAGCGGCAGTTCACGCCGCCTCCATCCTCTTGGGCCGGCTGTTCTGGACGGTTCTGTCGTTCAAGTACAGCTTCACGCACAGCGGGCCAGGCGCTGGTCCTGCCGCCGTCACGGCACTAAGTGACGGGCGGAGTGGCAGGGGCGCGGCTGGCGGGGGCAGGTGGCCCTCCGATGCGGCTGCGAGTGCATCAGCAGGACCCTATGATGTTGCGGCGGCAGCGATGCAGCAGCAGGCCAGGCAGCCACAGCAACAGCCACAGCTACAACTACAGCTACAGCCACAACAACAGCCACAGACACAGCAACAGCAACAGCTACAGCCGCAACCACAGCAACAGCTACAGCTACAGCCGCAACCACAGCAACAGCAACAGCTACAGCCGCAACCACAGCAACAGCTACAGCCGCAACCACAGCAACAGCAACAGCTACAGCCGCAACCACAGCAACAGCAACAGCCGCAACCACAGCAACAGCAACAGCTACAGCCGCAACCACAGCAACAGCAACAGCAACAGCAACAGCAACAGCAACAGCAACAGCAGCGGGTACAGCAGGAACAATGGCAACAGTGGCAACAGCAACAATTTCAGCAATGGCAGCAGCAGCAACAATGGCAGCAACAGCAGCAGCAACAGCAACAGCAGCAACAATGGCAGCAACAGCAACAGCAACAGCAACAGCAACAGCAACAGCAGCAACAATGGCAGCAGTGGCAGCAATCGCTACAGCAAGCAGGGGGGTTTCTACAGCAGCCGCAGCTACAGCCGGTTACGGGAGCGGGTTACGGGGCCGGCCGTTCTGCGGACTGGCCCACCCAGCAGGGTCTGGCTGGTGCTGCTGCTACTGCTGCTACTGCTACTGCTACTGCTACTGCTGCTTCTCAAGCGAACCAAAGAGGCCCAATGGGGCTACCGGACCAAAGTCGACACTGGAGCACTGGCGGCCTCCCGCTAGGGTCGGTGTTGCCAGCGTCGCAGGCGCTGACGTCAGCACCCGTACAAGGACCGTCGTACATGGCTCCGATATCGGCAACAGGGACCGGGGGAGGGCTCTACACCGCGGGTGCCTCCGGGTTGCCTGCTGTACAATACGTAGCAAACGGTGCCGTACCGAACGGACAGCAGTACACTGTTATACCCTCCGCCGGACAGGCGAATGCCGTGCCGAACATTTACATCTCCACGAGCACACCGGTGAATGTTGTGAACCCAATAACATTGTCAAATGGCGGTGAAGGACACGAGAAGGGCACGTTGGGGGGTGGGAATGAACAGGATATGCTTGCTATGGCTGCATTGCTGCTGCGACCCCGGGTGGTAGTCGTTCCCGTCATTCTAGGGTAACTGGCTCGGGTTAGGATAGGGGAAGAAATGGCCCCTGGGCCCGCCTGGGTTAGAAGAAACCGTTAGGCCGTTCCCAGCTGGCATTGTGATTGGCGACGGCAAATACAAATGCACATGCGAAGACGTGAGATGGTGATATTGTCACGAGGTGACCAAACACTCGCCTGGCATGTTTATATATAAGTGTGAAAGGAAGGACAGAGGTATGGTCAGTTGTTGGTCGTACAAGTGCTAGCGTAAATGCATAATGGCGAAAACACTGGTAGCAGCATCGCCTACGAACATGATGATTGTATGTGCCCTTCAACTTTGTATTGGTTTTGTTGAGCAACGTGACCATATACTAACGGGAACCGCAAGTCGAAAGTTTGCTATCTCACTATCTCACTCTAATTCTTTGTCCCCTCAAGGCAAATGTTGGGCATGTGTAATAACCAGTTTATAAACACGTAGCATGGATCCTTGCATGAATGCCATTTTCATAGGACTTGGCATCCAGCACATAGCAGTGCCACAACCCCAAACAAAGCACTTTCAGTTTAAAATAAAAAGATTCATTTGGTTAACCTCTTCCCGCAAGGCGTTGGACTTGTTCGTCCCAGCGATTTCGCAGCCATGGGCGCAAGGCAGTCGACCTATGCCATAGAAGCCCACGAGCCTGCACCCTCACCCCATCCTCCTGTTCCTCTGCCTCATCCTCATCATCAGCATGATGCCCTGTCAGAAGCCGCTCCAGTCGGGCGGGCGGCCGAGCATCGGCCGCCTCCCCTTAACCTCTCAGCACCCCCGGCTCCGCTGCCGCGCCGGCGCGGCCCCATATGCAGCGCTCTGGAAACTGTTGACATCGCCTCCACCCACCCCCACTCTCCGATGGCCTCCCCTGCGGTCATGGGACTGGTGGACGTTTGGATTATCGCGGGGCAATCAAACGCCGTAGGTGGGTTAGATACGGCCTGGCCTTGCGTGACGCCGCATACGCCAGGAAGGAACATTAGCGCCGGAGGTTGTGTCCCTCTTTTTACCAAAATCCTCAGCATGTGAATGCACTCCGAGTGAATGCACTAGGACGTGAAGGCTTGGGTGGACTCGTCTGGTGTTGGCCCTACAAATAGACCTGTGGCCCATGCAAGGTCTTGTTATGGGTTCTATGAGATTCTTAAAAATCAGGCGCAAGGTTCGCAAGGGGCCCCCCCGCCATTGTCACGTTGGCTGCAGCTATGTTGGCTGCTATGAGAGGTGTCCGTGGCAGGGGAAGGGAAGCCACACGCAGGGCCGAGGGGGAGATAGGATTTTGGACGCTGCACCGCCCTGCGCCCTGCATCAAGTCTGTATGGGTTCTTTCCTCTCACACTGGGGGGCTGTGTGCGTTTTCAACCTCCAAAACGGAGGTACACCCCCCTAGTACACCCCCCTAGTACACCCCCCTAGTACACCCCCCTAGTACACCCCCCTAGTAGGCAGCGGGCGCATCAGAGGAACTCAGCTTAGGGTCCATCCCAATTTAGGGCCCCTTGCTCGCCACACGGCCCTGAACACCCCTCAGCCCCCAACCTTTCGGTCAGTTCTACGTTTGATACTCTCTTGCCCTGGCAGCAGCTTCAATCGTGTGTGGTTCGTCTTTCCCCAACTCTTACTCGCCTCAAACAAGCCTCTGAAGGGTTCTGGTCAGGAAGCGTTTGAGGATTTCCGTTTGTATGACACCCTTACCTCCTACCATCCTGATTTTTCTTTTTTCCTTTCCTTTTTTCCGTCCCGCCTCCTACTCACTACTTACCTACCGACCCACCCCTACGTGGGGGAGACAGGCGATAATTCGGCGGACGGGACACCTGTGCCGGCTGCTTCGAAGCCGCTGCCGGGCTTAGTGTTGTCGTACGATTGTACGGGCACATGGCGAGACGCGACACCCAACATACATGCGGGCATCCAGGGGTACACCAGGGAGGTGCGTTATCGCTGAGATTATTGTCGTTGTTATGTTTTAATGAAATTGTAATGTAATGTAATGAAATTAGTGTTGTTGCTGCTCCTGCTGTTGGTGGTTGTTCATTCGCTGTTGACTGTTAAAAACTAAATTTGCTGCTGCAATTCCCGGTATTGTTTTTTTGTCGTGTCGTGCCTCCCCTCCCCCCTTTTCGTCGAAAGTGCTTTTAATTTACCAAGCCAGCCAGCCAGTGGGCGGGCGCCATGGTGTCACACGGCGATGTGGACGGAAAAGGTGGAGGAGGGAATTCTTCTCCTCACCACGCCAAGCTCCAACCCCTCCCGCAGCAGCAGCAGCTGGTGTTTTGGACATGCAGGGCTTCGGACAGCTTGACCCTTGCCTCTTGCATATGTTTCCCTACCTCCCTCCTCTCCTCTCCATCTCCTCTCCCTGTCCCTCTCCCAATCCATCCTTGCTCTCCCTCCCTGCCCCCTCTTCCGCACTCCTTTCCTGGCCCCCCTAGCCCAGCTGCGGCCCCGCCATCTCCTTCGGCCGCACCCTCGTCTCCTTGGGGCTCAGTGGCCGGGTGGGCCTTGTGCCCGCAGCCAAGGGCGCGACCAACCTCTTCCACGATTGGAAACCCACAGGCGGCGGGGAGCTGTACGGCACCATGATTGCCCGTACGAAAGCGGCGCTGATGTCGACGCCGCCCGGCGGCGGCACGTGTCGGCTTCGCGGCTTGATCTGGATACAGGTCAGATCACCGAGGGGCCTTATGAGAGCCCTAATAAGGGAGGTTAGGGAATGCACCTGAACAAGATCCTAAAAGACTTAAAAAAAGATCTCGTGGATGAAAGGAATTGGAATCTTTGCAAGCTTGGGGGCAAACCAAATGGGGCAAACCAAATGGGGCAAACCAAATGGGGCAACATGATGACGTCATTATGGGTATTATCTGTAATCTCCCGAGTTGTGACATGGGCGGGTGGGGGATATAGGCCGTGCGGCGAGGCGAATAGAGACAGGAGTAATCTTCGATGTGTCGTGCATACCAAAGGAATGCATTCATGCATGCATCACATGCCAAAGAAATCTTTGGGTTGGGTTTTCTTTTCCTCTTTTCCTGACCCACGAACCCGACGCTCTCACGTGCGTCCAAATGTGTAGTCCAAATACCAATCAGACAGCATCTCGTGACTGTATGCATCTCTTTTCTGTTGTTCAGTTTTTCCTTAACTACAAAACTGGAACGCACACACACACATGGCCTTTTGCAGGGTGAGGCTGATGCGGAGGAGCGGGTGGGCCCGGGGCCGTCAGAAGCGTACGGCGCAAATTTTACGGCATTCGTACAGGCAGTACGGCGTGATCTCGCCAGCTATCACGCGCAGGTGAGGGTCGTGGTGTTCTCTCTGGGTGCGGCATTATTCGACGTCTCGTGATTTCCCCTGTTCCGTGTTTTCCCCCCCCCCGGCCTCCAAACCCGGATTCCCGACCAGCTTCCCATCGTCATGGGCGTCATGGCATTGCGCAAACGCGAATGCTTTCCGTACCTGGCTACCGTACGTCGGGCCCAGCAAAGCGTCCCCTTGCCTGGGCTGCTGCGCATCGATTTGGCCGGGTACGAATTTTTCGAGGAGTACGGCGGGTACCACGTGCACCTGACTAAGGACGGCGTGACGGCGCTGGGCGCCGCCATGGCTCACACATATTACTCGGCTGTCGTACGAGCGGGGCTGCCACGTCGGCCTGGGGACTCGGTGGCGGCAGCAGCGGTGACGATGTGTGCGCTAGGACCGGGACCGGGCTCGTTCAGAGATGGGAGCGGCCCCGCCAACGCGGCGCCGTCGCCAATTTCCGCCAGTGAGGCCGCTGCCGCTGCCGCTGCCGCTGCACATTCCCTGCCTATCGCAGCGGCGGCGGCAACGGCCCCGGCCGTGATGGCAGGGGTTTCGGAGGGGGCATCACAGGGTTGCGGAGGCGGGCAGGAGGAGGCGAAGGCAGAGGCAGAGGGCCGGCAGTGCGATGAGGGGCCGCGGTTGGGGTCGCCCCCGGGGGCCCCACCTTGGGGAGCTCCAGCGGTACCAGAAGCAGTAGCGGTAACCGCCGTGGAGGGTCGCCGGGAGGAGAAACCGAACGAGGAGGAGGACGAGGAAGAGGATGAGATGGCAGAGGCAGATGGGATGGCATGTGCGCCGGCCGCTGCTGCAGTGGTGGCAGCAGGGCTTTGAAAGGAGAGCCGGGGAGCTTTGAAGTAGCCGGGGCAGTCACGGAGGCCTGACCGTTGCGGGAGACGGTAGCCGGCTCGGCCGTGGATCCAATGGTTGACGGTTTCAGTTAATAACGGCAGTTGGGGCCGGCTAATGATGAACTAGAATGGTTCGCGCTGCAGGGGGTAGAGCGCCGGATGAGAAGGTGAAAGGAACAGCATGAGTTTATGATGGTTCCGTACATGTGTACGGCGCAGGGTTTGGGATGGCCGTTGGGATGCGGCGGCGGGTAGCGAACCGCAACGGTCCTTATGGAGTTATGCCTGAGGTCTGTAGCTCTGATGGAAAGCATACATGCTGATGACTTGTGAGTTTTTTTGTGGCATGTGACTTGTGCGAGTTGTGACTTGCGAGTTAGTTTTAGTTTGTCAGCTTTTAGAGGAAAGCTTGCCATGATCTGAACGAGTTCCTTAAGACCATGAGACTTTTTGACGGAGCCGTGTCGGATCTGCATTCCGTCGTGTCATGTGGCGTTATGTGGCGGTATGTGGTCATGGTGAATGACGTGGCGCCCGGAAAGGGGCCGCCGTATGGGCCGTGTGTGTACGTTTTGGGATGTACTTGCTGCGTGAGCATCCTTCATTAATTCTTCCTGATTAGTGCTCATCAGCGGTGGTGACAAGCATATAACTGCCGTTCGCATCAATTGTTTTAGTATCTTTTCACTACAAACTGAATATTGCAGTAAACCCCTAAGTAGTATTATTATTATAATATTGGGTAGTTGATTTTATGGTGTGTGTGTGAGGGGGGTTTTGGGTCGTTTAGGGAGTCTGGACCAGTGGCCTCAGTCGCTTTTGTTTATGTTTTTATTGTCTGCTTGCTAGCTGGATGACTCTAGCTTCAAAGACGACTATAGATGTTTTGAAACGCAATGTTTTCGGCACTGCTGCGCGTCTTTTGACTCTTTGCGCGATAGCGCGGCTCTTCGACTCTTTGCGCAGCTGCTGTGGAGGTGGTAGGGGTTGTGCTGCTGTGAATGATGTGATGATGGAGCGGGGCCGGGTAGGCTAGGGCTTGCTAGGGGTGGCACAGGCTGAGGAAGTTGAGGAAGGGGGCCTCTGGTCGTGTAGTAGTGTAGTTGTGTGTAGCTGACTAGGGCCTGTATGGATATGGCTGTCGTGGTCGCGGCGTGTGTGTGATGGAAATGGTTCGGTCGATGGGTCGTGTAGTCAGCTAGTTTTTGGTTGCAGCTGAGGGGGTGTTAATTCGCTGCGGAGAGGAGTATGCAAGTGGGCAGGAGGGCAACAGCTTGGATGCATGCCGGCGGAGGGGGGGAGAGGATGGGATGGTATGGTATGGGAGGGCGCGGAGGGGTGCCATATGCGCGAAGAAGTGCAGGGGTTTCCAATAGACGCATTTTTGGGCGGGGCCCCAGCGCGAAGCGCCCAGGGGGGCCCCGACCTGTAGGATTGGCCATGTCCGTGTGTGTGTGTGTAACGGACCAAACATAATATCTCGCCCGGCTGAAACGCGTTATAGGTACTATACAGCATTCTCTATTGCAAGGTATCTCGCATGTAGCCAACAAAAATCGTATGAGCACAAACAAGTTTGGCTGCCTCAATTGACCGAGGCCAAAGTCACATCAACGCCTCTCGCGCTAAATTTCATCTCAAAAGGTACCGCGTATCTCATATTTGAATTCTTAGATGACGGCGTATGAAACTCGAACTCCCAGGCCTTGAGTGTGTAACGGACCAAACAGAATATTTCACCCGGCTGAAACGCGTTATCGGTACTATACAGCATTCTCTATTGCAAGGTATCTCGCATGTAGCTAACAAAGACCGTATGAGCACAAACAAGTTTAGCTGCCTCCATTCACCGACCTCAAAAGTCACATCAACGCCTCTCGCGCTAAATTTCATCAGGAAAGCTGCCGCGTATCTCACAATGGAATTCTGAGATGACGGCGTATGATAACTTGAACACCCAGCTTGTGTTACCATTTGCCGGCATGGGCAATCCGACTTGCCACCAGCAGGCCAACATAATTTGCTTTCATTTCTCTATGAAATACACAAGCTCCTTGTTTGTACATTTACTTTGGCCAATGCACGGGGCCTCCTGAGACTTGCGGTGTGCCCCGATGAAGCCCGGAGGCCGCTGGCGCTTCGGGGATAAACATCACAGACAGCACCGAAATTCACCCAGCTTTCGTTACCATTTGCCCGCACGGGCATTCCGACTTGCGGTCTGCCGCACTGTCCATGCGGCATGCACCCGGAATGGATGCGATTCGCGTGGAGCCCGCAGGCGGTGCTGACGATTCCGCCGGTGTAAGCTTAGCTCTCACACCATCAGCACTGCTGCAACAAAGCACATCTCCCACCGCGTTGACACTACCCATCAATTGTCACACTTGCCACCCTTGCTACCGGCCTTTACGGATGCAGAGGGGCCCCGCCCTTTTTCCGGCTTCCTTGAAGCCGACACCCAACTTGTCCGGAGTCGTCGTGTGTGGGTGTGTCCACCAGTCCAGTCGTGCCCAACGTCCAAGCAAAACTCGGAGGGAATGGGAGAGGCGGAGGCGTATGAGCGGGCGTACGCGGAAGAGATGCAGAAAGCTGTGCTGCTTGCCCCGCAATCTCTGCACTTTTGCGATGATGGTGTGTATTTATGGCACACAGCTTCACACGGTAGATAGGTGGCCACTTTTGTTTCCGCTGCGTAACCCCTTGCTTGGCCGCCCCCCGTGCTGCCGAAGAGCGTCCCCTAGCCTTCTAACTCCTCCTCTGCGCTACTATTCCAAAATCAGTGCATCAGACTCCCAAGTTCAGCGCCCCTAGCCACCAACAGGCCCATCACGATCACCGGCATGTAAGGCGTAGGGTCTGCCTGTATGGAGGTTGATTCTACTCCTGATCGGCTCGAAGGGCCCGGTTACTGCAGGCCACTGGTGGTGGGGCCGGGGGATTTTATGGCCAGCCGTACGTGCGTCAGCATCTTGAGTGTTGCCTGGCTATCTGCGGTGAAGTGACTGTATGTTTGAGCAGGCCAGGGAGGTGGTATGGGTCATGGATGGACGAAGGCCGACAACAGGAGAGGTGGACTCAAATGCATTGGAGGGGTGATGGCAGGTGCGCTGCGCACCTGTACGTTGGCCCTAGGCATCGCCTGAGTTACTCTTACCGGCACACGGAGCGGCGAAAGGTTAGAAGTCATGATAGGATTTCGGTTGTGCACGAACATTTTGTACGATTTACATGTTTTAATGATGTTTTATTTTCCTACAAGTTTGCGATGGCATAACATGCCTGGTGGTACTCGCTTTTATACAGGAAGAGATAAGGTATGGTATAATATTTTCTCTGGATGTCATTGAGTAGCCGATCTCTCTACTCGGGTCGTGCCACCATGATCAGCTACTCACATTGCTGTCAAGGTCGAGTACATTAAGATTTACAGAATGTTCGTAGCTTTCTGTAGCCTCTTGCGGCGGTACAGGCACGGCAACGTGCGCCAACATTTGACGGGAGGGGCTTTGCAATCCGCTGCTGATTGCGTAAAGGTCGACTTCTCAGATTATCATGGAACTGACGAAAGCGCATCGTCGGTGCGGGCTGCAAGTAGTGCAGCGGCATCAACCTCGTTCGCGAGTTTCCATTCCGGAATTCATACAACCGCCATCACGTCGGACAACGACTACATAATTTTTGGACGGACAGCGCGTCATGCCAGTACGGCGTCGGAAGGTCATACGGCTCGTCGACGGGAGATTCTGCGCGATGCGGCCCAGAAAGTGTCTCCGAACAGCTCGTGGCTGCTCGCATACAGTCATAACATCGATCCTCGGCAGCTTACATTTCGGTTGGGAAAGCGGTCCACGCTACACGCTTTGCAGGAGGGCTGGACACTTTACCAGCACAAGTTCGATACCGTGGCTATGGCGGCATTGCTGCGCCGGATCCGGGTTGCACAATGTTACGATGCCGATTTCAACTCCGCTGCGGCACAGAGCCTTCTCGATGCCATGGTACCACGGTTAAAGTCCATTACCTTGCGGTTTGGCAAGCTGCGGGACACGATCGCGTACCTACACGCTCTCGCAAAGCTGCGGTCTCCGCCTCCGCAAGCACCTGCCAAGGGCGTGGCAGGTCTCAGAGAAAGCGAATTTGATAATAGCGCGGAGGGGACGGTCCCAACAGGGGCCGTCAAAGACGGCAAAGCACTCCTGGGCCAGCCAGCCGAGCTCGTCCTGGACCTGGCGATGTGGGCAACTCGTGATCGAACCCTGGTCCTTCAAGCCAGCCCACGGCGGTTAGCCACATTGCTATGGGCGTTGCTGCGGACCGTGCCGCAAGAGCTGTACAGCAGCGAAAAACTGCAGGTACGGCGCTGCGGCCACCACCGCCATGCACGCCACGGGTCGGACACTTTCCTCGCGAGTAGTGTGTCATCCGTCACAGATGAGCCGTTCTGGATCTGGATTTGAGTTCCTTGGGACTGTCCGGTTGAGATATCTCTGTGCACTGCCCCACCACCGCGGGGGCCCCTACCACCGCGTGGCGGACCCCCTTCCCTCTCCCCTCTTGCCCTGGCAGCAGCTTCACTCGTTTGTGGTTCGTCTTTCCCTCTCCCCACTTCCGCCGCAAACCCCAGCATTCCTCGGGTAACCCTACCGCGCGCTGCCCTGCCTTCACATGTTTTAAAACATGACATAACATAACATTACAGATTGCCCGCTTAAACCCGTCGGATCAATTACTTCACAGCACAGTACGTTGTTTACACCAGCAAGGGCTACCGGTGCCGTGTTACCCTTGACGTAGATGGTTCTTGACCGCGTGGCCTACTGCTCCATACGCCAGTGGCCCAACTTCGCTCCGGAGGACATGAGAATCTACGCGGTGGCGTATGCGACCTTTGGGCCGCAAGGCGCTCCGGCTGCCGCCTCGGCGGAGAAGGGGGGTCCGGGCGGCAGTTGGAGGCGGAGCGGCCGCAGCTGGCTGGGCAGTGTGTCGTCCTGGCCGCAGATGCCGAGGAAGAAGTCCAAGGCGGAGGGCGACAGTGGCGACGGGGATGCGGATCCGGGCACAGCAAAGGCGGAGGGCAGCGACGACAACATCGGCATCAGCATCAACCGTAGCAAGTACGATGCCGAGGCGAAAGCGGCGCAGCGCCGGAAGCGCAATGCGTTGATCCTGCAGGTATGTCTGTTGTTGCAGGAGAGGCGTCCGAAGTGAAGCTAAGCTGCTGAAGCCGCTGTCGGTGTGCCGCACCGTACTTGTGTATTTTGCCGCTGGGGCACTCTCTTTTCGATGTCTTTTTGCAGGTCTTGGCGGACCAGCTCGCGAAGCGTGTGGGCGACGTGTTGGTAGCGTCCCCACAAACCCGGGACTTGGCGCTGGCGGCTCACGCCTGGGCTCTCCAGGGCGCACCCAAACCCCACATGCCGCTTTTGGTGAAGGCGGCGGACGCGGCGGCGGCGACGCCGCGCTCGTTGCTGCCCGTGGAGCTGGTGCTCCTGGTGGAGGCGCTTGCGAAGTACGGCGTACGGCAGCCCGTGTTTCTGGACACTGTGCGACAGCGCACACGGGGTTGGGCCGCTGGCGCGCGGGATGTGGCGTCGGGACCAGCGGCTGCGGAGGAATCAGCGGCAGCAGAGCCAGCAGAACAGTTGCAGCTGCAGCAGCTGCACGGCCGCCTCGTTGGGGCTTTTGGGAGTTTGGGGGTAACGTTGTAAGGCCGTGCTTTTGTTCATGGCTTGAATATTGCTTTAGCGGATGTAATGCTCTTTCGGGCACGAGATGAGAGGAGCTCTGGGCACGTCATGTTTTCCGATGTTGCACACGCTCTTTGGGAAGCGTGCAACCCAGGAAGAGAGGTTGCGCAATTGAAGGTTACAGAAGGGACCTATAGGAAAGCGCGGCGAGTTTGTGATGGGTAAGTGGCTTAGCCAGATGTTTTAGTTGTTAAACAGAATGCGGGAGAGGGGCAGGGGGTTATATTGAACGCCGATGTAACCCAATTTTTTCTGTGTGAGCTGTGGATGTCGGGTTGCTTTATTGACGAAGTTGGAGTCCTCTGACTTTGCCGCTGTGTCCTGTGAATGGAATCAGGGGGGTTTTCGGTGACCTGCACTGGAGGATAAGTACGTGCCAGCCATGGACGCAAAGCCATGAACCATGCATGGGTTGTGAGGCCGGGCCGGGGAAAGCGCTAATCCAGCCACCAAACGGCCTTCTGACTGCCACATTACAAAATGGTTATAGCAATATGGATGGAGGGGAAAATCCTGCAATTGAAAAACTAAAACTCAAAAATGGCATATGATGGTTTTATGGGTTTTTCCAACGATTATAGGTAAATACGCAAAGACATGTGTTTCCCCCTTCACCAGTGATGTAAGATTCGAGTTACTTCATGTAAAAAGCATGATAAGCATCCTTTCGAACTACGTTATCCATGGAGACTCGTTCTGGGCGGTGCCTCAAAGATTTGCTGTGAATGGGCAGGTCTAGCTGCCCGCTGCCTGAAGGATGCAGCTGCACAGCAGCCGCGGCTAGGAAATGCCCTAATCCAACCATCAAACGGCCTTCCGACAGTCTGACTGCCCCACAATACTGGGAGGGCTCAGGCGCACATGGCGTCTGCTGGGGGGCCTCGGGTGCTCGTGGCATCTGGTCTGCTTTCGGTATGGCATTTTCCATCATTATTGCAGTCTTTGCATAGGCTTGTTCGGCGGGATGGGGGAAAAGTCGGGGTGCTTTTATTGGAGGGAGACCGCAATCTTGTGTAGGACATGTGCCTAACCCTCACTTTGCCTTTGCCCGTTGCATGTTTCACTCTAGCTCTCTTGGTGAGGTCCGTTTCCTCAGGACATGCACGAGGCTCTGGACAGACAGGCGGCGAGGACAGGGCTGGAACTTATCCATGTGGTAGCCGGTTGGCCCCGGTGGGTTGGAGTTGGTGGTGCAGGGCGAGGGAGGGAAGAGCCTAATATGCGGCGGAGTGCAATAAGGCAGAGTTGGCCATGTTGGCCGCAACCCGCATGGGGCCCCCATGGAGTGCGCCCCACGGGTTGCTGCAACTGCCACCCTAGCCACTGCCTTTTGGTGCTGCCACTGTCGTGGCGGCGTTCAACACCACCAGCATGGCGCCGTAACGGATCACCTCCGGATCCGCTAACCCTCAACCCCGGACTCCGACTCTGGATGCCTTCGAATCCGAGCACCACTCGGTGGCCCCCTCGCCACTGGCGTCATGCATCTACTGTGCGGATTGGGGATACCTACCAGACACGGCACCGGTAAACAATCCTGTTGAGCGACCATAGCGGGGTTGTTGCATGACAAACCACAAATGCCAGACAGAGGTGTTGACAAACACCTGATGCGGTTCCAATATGATGGATAGCGGTTCCCATAAACCAGCGGGCAGGGAGGTATACAAGGCGACCCCGGTGCCAGAGTGAAGGCGAATATCGCGAATATGGATTCTTGCGGATATGTGCGTGCCCCCATCGTACAGCATTCGCTTTGCAGGTGCTGGCTGTTGAGACAGACATGGCATTTGAGGGTAGCATGTGATGGACACGATGGACACAGCGGCCCCTTAGAGGAGGAGGGAGGGACGGCGAGAAGGCGGGAGAGCGCAGCATACAGGGATGCGATCGACGGCCGATGCGCCGGGGGCATAGTCGTTGAGCGCCACCGCAGTCGCCACGGATGACGTGCAACCATGTCTTGACACAGCTAGTAATGCCCCACATCGAGCTACGTGGCCAGCCACTACCATGCCCAAAGCGAACCGGGGTCCTAAAAGTACTTTATTTTTCTGCGGCAGATGGCGTAGCACGCGAGCCACGTCAAGTCTCACGCAGCCAACGCCCTGATATCTGTCATGTCTAATGTGCGAAGTGCACATTCAAGCTAAGAGATTTAAGTCAGTTCGACGAGGCTTTCTACAGGGTGTTTCCACTTGGCCGAACACTAACACTAAGTTTGAATGTTCTTCGTCCTGGACTCGTCTCTCGCCGTTCTTTAGTACCTAGCACTAACTATTTGGCGGGCAACTTTTATGAGCTGGATTGTCCCTTCTGACCATAGACTTTAGACGTAAGCAGCTATCTTTTTTCCTTCCTGCAAACGCCGCGTTGACTTGCGCACGGCCAACACCGACAGCCTCAGAACACCGCCATTTTGCAATGGAGCCCTCCTTCAATAACGTTCAGCAAACATATACCGCTAGTTTGCCTTCCTTCGCTGGCCGGCCGTTGCCAATGCACCATGCGGACTTCATGGCGGACATCATGACGCAGGCTGCGCCGCAGCGGATCTTAAATACGCGAATCCTTACAGACCTTGACAATTATCAGCAATTAATCCCTGGCGCTAAAACGTTCAAAATACGAAAACAATTTTGCTTTCGGCGCTCCTTAGTGCCGCTAGTGGAAACACCGTCACACTAAGTCCACACTAGCACATAGTGTACCGAAGATAGTGTTCGGACAAGTGGAAACACCCTGTTAGTCTACGCGTGCTACCGCACTAACGGCCTACTTGCAAGACACCCCCTCACGCTTGCCAGCGTCCTAATTATTCTGTCTGTTCGCGTTCAAACGAGACGCCTTCTCCTGCAAGCGAGCCATCTGCTCCTGCAAGTGACGAAGGCAGTCCGTCTTCTTGTGCTCGTCCCAGGTCTGGTGTTCCGGCTTCAGACGTGAACACACCCGGCACTTGAGAAGGGTACCGGACGTTGACGTCTTCTGTTTCTTTGCTCTGACAGCTTCCCAGGCCTGTTTAGGAGGGAACCGAGGGCGAGAATGCTTAGGTCGAGAGGAGGAAGTAATCTTAGACGGGCCAGCTTGCGTAGTAACGACAGCAAGCTGTGCTTTGTCTTTTCCGGCTTTCCACCGAACCTCCTGACCGCAAGCGTACAGGATAAGTTTTTCTAGGTCCTGCCAGTCCTTGCCCTCATCATCCGTAGCGCGGCGACCGCGCAGTGCAGGAACTAAGCCCTTAATATACCAAGAGATTTGATCCGCAACACTCATATCATTCGCTTCACGAATAATATCGTAAAAGCGCTGTGTGTACTCTGGTACGGACTCGTCTATTTTCATATCGTATTCGTGCGCATGCAAACGATCATGTGCGTGCGTGTCGCGTTTCGCATACCCATATTGTAACAGGAATTTATCACGCAACAGATCGCGGGTAAGTGGTTGTGCGCCGGACTTGTGCTTAAGGAAAAGATCGGCGGCCAACTCCTGAGCCTTGCCCATAAGCCAGAACATAAAGTGCTCAAGCGGGTCCATTTGCGACAAGTCAAAGTATTGCATAAGAAGCGCAAACCATGTCTTTGTATTAGTAATTTGTGAATCCTTCTTCCCACTAACACGAGGTGGCGCAAGGATACGCTTACTTACCTCCGAGAGTCGTGCGGACTTTGACGAAGAGGCAGCCGAGCCGGAAGGACCACCGGCTTTCTTAGCCACGCCCTCGCTCCAAAGCTGCTTGACTTCTTCCAAGCGTACTTCGGGATTTAGGTGGCGCTGGAGAAGCACCTGAAAGGCGCAGTTCTGCAGCGTGTCGACCTCCAGGAACGAGGAGATATTGCTGTCCAGAACCTCGCAAATTCCATCGATAATGATGGACCTGCGTTGTATGTCCGACGAATACGGAGATGGCGACGCAGGCAACGCGTCCCGAAGTTGTGCCTGGAGATCCTTGATGGCTGAGCTGATTTCACCCAACCGTTCACCGTACTCGGTGAAAAGGCTCACCACTTCACCCTTAAATGCCGTCAGTTCCGCTTGAAGAGCGGGAACCTGGTTCTCAAGCATTTCTTGCGCTTGTGCGGCTGCCGCAGCCTGCGCTGGCGTACAAGCCGGTAATCCGCCTGTAGACAGCGAGGCGCGCTGCGCGGCATCCGAAGGAGGTTCCGTCGGAGGATCGACGTCCATCTGTGCACGATTGGCAACATGAGTATTATTAATATCATGTTCATTATTTGGAATAGCCAAAGGGCGTACATCTTCATCGCCAGAATCATTAGCCTCGGACTCGGCAGGGGCCTGATCCTGGTCAGCAAGGGGCGCTTCGCGATGTCTTTCATAAGATCGTTGAAATTTAAGAAAAAGTCTAGCCAAACGCCTTCGCTCGGCAGGAGTGAAGCGCATCACATCAAGGAGGATCGAACTTGACCCTCGATACCAATGTACGCTAGTGCTTGCCGCTGGGTTGGACTTCTTCCTGCCTCGGTGAGGACTAACAACTCCACGCTTCCGCTCTGTCAGTCGTCCCGTCAGGTGAGCGACGGCTACATTGGTATCAGTGGCTCACCTAGCGGTCGACTGGCAGAGCGGAAGCGTAGAGTTGGTAGTCCTCACCGAGGCAGGAAGAAGT